GTCAGCCCCACACCAATTAGATTTGCGAAAATAAAATATTTAAGCTCAATATAACGCTACATTCGTATAGATCGAGTTCTATCAACTCATCACTCGTCGTAAATGCGGTCCCGAGACCCTCTTTTGAACATGATTACACCTGCCCTGCGACGAAATGCAACGGGTCGCCCCTCTTCTCTACATACTTTGGAGCACGAGGCTCGATCTTACCCTGCGCCTCGGCTGCACATACGGAAAGAAAACAGTTAAGCGTGTGGTTTTGGGAACAAGTAAACTTGATGAACGCACGTGGTGAGCTCCAGAAGTAGATGATCAACCCAACGATGACCACAGCGAAGGCGGGGAAGTACAGCCAGTATGGCTGATAGTGCTAAAGATGCGCATATACTGTTAGAACTCGACATAAAAGGAAGTAAAATATCATACGAAGAGGAAGAGTCCAAAGAGAAGCCCGTAAAAGTCACTTGAGAGGATGCTTAGGTTGTAGTATGCGGACGACGCCATACGATAGAGCATCGGCGCGACAGTGTACAAGATGAACATCGATGCCGTGTACGCGACAAGAATTCCAACTGCAATACAGCCATGTCAATAAGACATCAAAAGTGCTCGGGTAGACAAGAACGCACTGTTCTTTCCGTCCCAGTTTGCCTCGCGAATTTGCTTATGTTCGAGGCCGGCAGCTTGGATGCCGTTGATAATCATACCCCACATACCTAGCTGGCCCACAACCTCATATAGCGGAGACTGGCGCACAAAGAATTCTTCCGTTGCGTTCGCTGCCCACGCGCGTTGATCAATCTTCGAGCACAATCAACCAGGGGATATCACAGAATGCTTACTGAATCCGTACAATGTTGCGCCAACAATCATGAACGCATCGCCCTTGGCACGGCTGAGTGCGTGCCAGTCCTTGTCGGTGAGTTCGTCTGAGGCGACGAGCATTCCCAGCCCGCCGATGCAGACGAGCACACCAAGGACCTGCGACCATTTGTATTTTGGACGCATGTACACCCACGAGAAGAAAATACAGGATGGGATCGCCCAGGCGTCGAGGAGCTCGCACGAGAGGAGGGTAGTATAGTTGTACGCCTGTGAAATGGATCAGAAAGTCAGATGAAGGGATAGTGTGGCTACGTACCTTTACGGCCAGGAAGTTTCCCTCGACATCACATGCACCCAGAATGATATCTGAGAGTTGACGATCAAAAACATTTTCACGCATATTGCGATTTGTTTGACTTACATCTCCAGCCGTCTTTATAAATCATCTTCAGCCACCCCTTGAACCCATCTACGTAAGATCCCAATTAGATCTATGCTCCAGATGATGCATGTATATATTCCAAAGGCAAAGAGGAAAGGCACGAGAACCGTAATATAGCGCGGGAAAAGTCGCTAGAATCCTGGGTATGCCGCATCGAATCTAGCGGAACAGACAAGGAACGAAGATGACGGCATATGACAACTAGCACCCTATCCCGTTTTGAACTAGCAGAATTACAGTGAAATAACACGATTGTTCATCAAGCCCGCCTGGGCATAAATTCCAGGCAAATATCCACGGTGCTTGACGAAATGCATCGAGCACTCACATTGATATATCGTATACGGCGTGTAAACAATGAAGATAGAAAAGTACCTGAAAAGCACACAAATTAATGAGTACTTCTGTGTACCGAGAAAAGCAACACTCACAGGAACCACGTCTGCGTCGTCGGAAGGGACCAGTTCCGATCGACGAGCTCTGTCGTCGTAACGTTCGTGCAGGTGATGCACAGCGATACCAGCTGCCCAGCAAGGAGCGAGAGAACGAAGCGCTTCGTCCACAGGCTCTCAAAGCGATGCCACAGACTAGCCACCAACGCACTCGCTGACGAGTAGTCGAGCGGTGGGCGCGAGGAGATAGCTGGAGCGGGCTCCTGGGAGTCGAGGACGGGCGGGGCGTCGAGGGCGTCCTCGGCGAAATCTTTCTTGGAGTTCGTGCGCGAGAGTGAGAGCGATGGCTCGAGCACTTCAACGGCGGACATGGCTGGCTGGCAGGTCGTCGTTCCTCGCGCAGGGGTGGGAGGGCCACAGGGAGCGGAGCAGGGCTCAGATGGAGCTGGCGCGGGGCATATGGTGCACGAGCTCCCGGCTAATGTACTGACGGGACTTTGAAAAACTTCTCGTCGCCTGCCTGTTTGGGCGCGATCAATGTTATGATCAGGTACGCTCCACCTGATTCTGAATCCTCAGCGCTCAGCCACCACTCATGCTGATCCGGACACACGCATCGACGACGACTGGTGCTCAGCGACTATGCGCACTGAATTTGAATGGAATTTGTTCGTAGCTTTCTGGGTGTGTCCTGGACATAAGATACAAGAGTTTATTGTTATACAGTGGAGTAGAGCCATCAGCCATCCGGACAAATCAGAATCACACCGGCGTCCGGTGCTTGTAGCCTGGTACATAAAAGTATTCAATTGCGCATGCACATCTGAATTCTCCACATGTGCTTTCCTCTGTTTCTTTCCCCCACGTTGTTGTCTCTAATAATACGCACGCCTCAATGCTTCACCAAGTTTAGTATTGATATCATGCGAGCTCACCAGCCAGTCCGCGGTGTCTGCCGTCTGGCACGTGTGGAGGGGACTATGTCTGGTTGACTTGCGGCCAGTGACTCGGAATACGTCATATCCTCCGGAGCTTAATGTGCTGGAAACCTAGTATCAGCACTTGACCTCGTAACACTGTTGCACACATCCTCCGATCGATCACCTTCCTCGACTCGGAGATGCAGCGGAAACGACTCTGCTAGCGCTCAGCGCTCAGGCTCCACGGCTCGTACTCGATGGCTTCTGAATTCTTGCCTCGATGCGGATGAGATGCGGTTGACAGCCATATCTATGCACGTGCAAAGTCTGAGAATGTTTATGCACTTTCATCGTACAGTGTGTCGTTGTAGCAGTACAGGAGTTGAATAGGTATGCACGCCAAGATGAATGTATCCATAGATTAGCGGGAAGGGGTGTGAGGGAATAATCATACGGATTAAATGCGAGTGAGCAAGACGAGAGCGAGGACAAAGAATACAAAAAAGAACGTGTTGCGTGTATATATCGCGCGTCGGTATCGAATGTTATCGTTGCGTCCCGCCTTCGAGGTCCGGAGACTCAGACTGTCTGTTTCGGGCGGACCGCAGCGACTTCATCAGGACATCTTCACGTTGAATACGGTGTTCCGCAAGCTTCTGTAAAAGGCGCGACTGGGATAAACATAGTGGTCGCCATTCGCGAACAAAACACAATTACGGTTTTCATATTATGCAGGACGACGAGCAATCGGTCCAGCGTGGCCTCTGCCATCTCACAAAACTACGCGGCGACGAGAAAACGGAGGTAAGAGCGGAGTGTGTCATTGAACAACGCAATGAACATACCTTGTCCGCGGTATGGCTCGACATACCTAATACATCCTCTACACATCTATCTACGGGCATCGGGGCTGGCGGCACATGCGGTATTCGAGACGGCTGCTCTTGCGCCTCCCCCCTCTCTCCGAAACAATGCGCCCAACACTGGGCCCGAGCCCGCGAGAACCAATGAGAGTCAAACTCTTGTTCGGAAGCAGCTGCGGCGCCATCGGAGTGTTCAGACGCCCTACACCTACGCTGTGCGAGTCGTGCGTGAGCCCAGGGGGGCGGGTATGCTTCGCGGGGAACGCGGTACTGCCAGCAGTGCCGAGGCTTCCAATGGTGTGCCTCATGATGCTTGATTAAGACCGTGGTCGAAGTGGCACCAAGGAGGAACCAGAGAAAGCGAGAGATGCGGCGGCGGCGGTAGTAGCACCAGCGATGGAGGTGGGCGTGCCAGAGGGCTCTGGGATGCATCTCAGTGTGGGAGGCGGATTGGAGAGAGCAGAGGGAGTAGACGAGAAGGAGGACAGCTTGATATTCGAGGGAGTCCCTGCAGGGTGCCGAGGGGGAGCGTCAGTGCCGGTGGCATGAGGCGGTACAGATGACGGACTGGGTACGGCAGGACAAAGTCGAGGACGGACGTGAAGCAGGCTCGCCTTATCGAGACGGCCGATCATTGTGCGTAACCCGAGTTACTCGGGCTTCCGCGTCAGACGCCATGATTCATGCAATTGACAACAGTCGATTGGACGACTCAGCGCAAGTGCAGGACGCGTTCGTTCGGCGCAGCCACCGCGCCGCGCCTTCGGCATTCAACTCTTTCACACGCTGCACGTGAGCGCGTCTCATAATATTCCGTCTTTTCTCTTCGAGCTTTCTAACTGCCGACCGGTATACCATTCCCCAGAGTTCTCGATCGCATCAGCACCATTTCTTCATCATCCTGGACGACAATGCACACCCTGATTACTACGCCATCCTCTCCACCTCTCCCTCCGCGTCCGCGCTCGAGATAAAACGCGCGTACCATCAGTCTCTCCTGCGTTCCCACCCAGACAAGCGGCCGATCTCGTCTTTGAGCGATCCTATGCACTCCGTCGGTGAGACTGCCGACATCGGCCTACTCAAGCGGGCGTATGAGGTACTCTCTTCGCCGGCTTTGCGAGAGGCGTACGATGCGGTGTGGAAATGCGCCTCTGAATCCGGTCGTCGTCACGGACCTCGCCCGGCGCAGGTTGTCTCATTGGAGGAATTTGACGAGATCGATGATGAGGGGAGGTGGACGTACGCGTGTCGCTGTGGCGGTGTGTATGCCATCACAGAGAAAGATATGGAGAGCGGTCAGCATCTGATCGGCTGTAACAGCTGTTCGGAGGTTGTCTGGGCGGGGTATGAGCTTGCAAATGAGGCTGAAAATGGGATGGATACACCCGTATAGACCCGGACGTTGTCACTTGTGGGCATGCAAAATACGTTTATGTAATGAAAATGGATCAATTATATCAAACATCTAGAAGCAAAGACGGTACAACTACAAGAAAAGTTTATGTTACATCTGCGGGTATCGGACGACATAGCTACCACCAGCCCCTACGCTCCTTCCGGTTGCATACTGACATTACTCGAACTGATCTATCCGTCAGCTTGTTGGGCACATGACGTAGGGCTAATCGCACACACCTGCACAACCATCGATGTGGCCCAGGGAACCAAGTGCTGAGTTGTGGGTGAGAGATACGAGAACGCGCTCGTCTTGTATACGTCCGTCTTGTATCTGCGCATGATTGTAATCATGCATGAGCTAACGCACGCATGCGTGCTGACTACACTCACCGCTTAAGCACGCCAGATTGACCTGGTGCTCGGCGAATGTTTTTCTGCCCGAAAACCGCTCGAACAACCTGTCCAATGACCTAAACGACTTGTCAGCTCCTGCTGCTGCCCACCAACAGAATGGTATAATTACTCTCGAGGATAAATCCTCACCCAGGCACCTGTATGTGAGTGTCAACGCCTACTTCGAGCTGAATCACAAGGATCCCTACCTCGCTGAGCCATCCCCAACTAGGTATCTCTGCACAGGTGTCCTGGTCGGATCTACTTCCGTCGGATCGACAAACACATGCGCCTATAAACCGATCACCATCAGACACCGCATGTTTGAGAAGAAATGCAACCTACGTCGAGATCAGCGTTAGCAATGTTAGCGAAAACGGTTTCCCCAGTTTTCAAGGACTGAGTACCGAGCACGGCTGTGCGAATGGTTTGACCTGCGGGATAGTGTTAATTGCAATGAGCGTATAGAAGATATACAATCCACATACGATATGTTCCGCGGAAGGGAGGGTCGAGGCCTGTCAGACAAGTGTGAGCTTTAGCATCTTCCAGCAGGGACCAGCGACATACGCAGAGCCTCCCTGACAAAGCCTTGCAGCATGCTCTCGTCTTTCGCGTCCAGTTTGGCCTTAGATACAAGGAACTGCACGTCTTTCGGCTTATTCTCATCGAGGTAGAAGTTTACTACATTGACAATAGCTGCGCGAAAATATCGCATGGGATCAGAGCGAGAACATCAGAAATTAATACCGAACGTTACCTTGGGACATTTCTACCGTAGAACCAATGAGCACCGCCAAGACGCTGTTTGCCTGGGTATCTCGGTCATAACCGAGGCTCTGAAGACGCTCCAGCAGTTCAGCCCTCTCAGTCTTCTTGGACCCGAGAAAAATCTCAGTGATGGATTCCACGAAGCCAACGATGGATAACTATTCGTGTGGTGTGAATTTTTGAAACAAAACACGCAGCATGCTACTTACGCGCGAGGAACCGCCAATGGACACCTTGATGAGCCGCAGTAGCTTGTCAATATCCCCTCTAACTTTCTGCTCCAGCTTCAAGAGCTGCGCTGCCTCGACATCGAGGAACAGGAATCTGCAAAGCATGTAAACGGATTATAACCCGCACTCAAAATTCAAAGGACTGCTCACGAGTAGATGTCGGACAGCACGTCAAACAGTTCCTGCGGTGTGTAATCTCCTTTAGACGTGGGACTGTTCTTTAGGCAGATGCCCGCCTACGCGCAACGGCTCAGTACAAATGTCGCAGGTGCAGAAGAACTGAATGTAAACGTACAAATTCGCTTGCCCAATAAATAGGAACGTATTTCAGTACGTCGCGCACGATGTCAACATTCTTCGTCTGCGATCCAACTGAAGCGTATGCGTTCAACAACATAAGATCGCGCGTCTTCTGATAGAAAAACTCCGCCATCTCATCTGCCGATTTGGAGAGGACGCCAATCATGGCTCGCTGTTCTCTACCCGCCCGTGCGGGGCTGTCGGAAGCGATATAGAAGCTTACCGCCGTGACCCGATTAGTTCACGAAGACGTGTCGCAAGCCGCCTGACCAAATGACTCACCCTTGTCCACTGATCACCTTCGCGCCGCGGCTCGCATACCTGTCGCCAAACTGCGTCTCATCTCCGAGTATCTGGGCGACCTCCCGGTAGTTCTTAACCTCGGAAATTGGTAGTGTGGGTTTGGGTCGTGACAAGTCATACGTCTTAATATCATCCAGCTTTGTCAGAATGGTGTTCATGGCCACCGGCGTCATGAGCGGGAACCAGGTGTAAGAACTGTTGCTCGAGAACTGGTTGGGAAGCGTTCGCAGGAAGAGCTTGCCGAGCATGCTGCCATAGCCAGGCGCGTTCGGGTCCCGCTGACAGTCAGCAAAGCCCCAAGATGTCATGTTGAAAGGAGTGTAATCGGCAGTGAAAAATCGATCTCCGCGTGTGAGTGCAATGGCGTCGCTGAGGATAGCGCGACTGATAGTATATCCTTACAGTTTCCAGACTCGCTGTAAGTAAAGAGGCAATGAAGCATAATGCCGGGACATACCAGGGCAAAGACCAGCACCATCGACCACCGGCTTGGCAGCTTCCGCTTGCAAGCCAACATAGAGTTCCAATCGATCAATGTGTCCATACAATTTCTCCGCTGCGGCCGCAACCTCCGGGTCGGGATTCCACTCAAGGAAGCTGGAATACGCTGGAGGTGCAGCTGATTAGCGGGGGAGAAAAAACCCAACAGAGAGATAATACATACTCTTCAAGCCCAAGAACTGACGACACGACCGTAAGAACGATGGCCATCATAGCTTGCGTGCACTCACCTTCCGGAAGTTATTGAGCGAGCAGCAGCCCCATTGCCTGTTCGATTCAATACCCATGATTTCGTGTAGGCGCATAACGTGTGGCGTGCCACGGGCTTTGAATGCAGCCGCAGGATGGGATGTACTGGCGAAGGCGAGTAAGTAGGAGAACCCAAGCAAGTTATCGAGCCCCTTACGCATCCTGAATGACAGCAGCCAGATCCTCGTCTTTGAAAGTGTTGTCTGCCTGACGAGTTAGCCTAAGGAAACATTTGAGTAGATCTACGATTTAAGAACGCCATAGGTGCCTACGTTCCAATGGTCCAGCTTTCAAGATCAGGCTCAGTAGCTTGCAATTGTTTCGCTTTCTCCTTGAATTCCTGAATGCTGAGCTAAGAACGCAGCGTTAAATCAGCTTTCAAAATGTGGGTAGAGAAAAGAACATACTTGGTCCCAAGTCTTGTCCGGGAACATCTTACTGAATAGCGCTTCAACCCACTTCTCATCTTGAGCGGAGGTGGTGGCATGCCAGCGGTACAGGCAATTAAACTTTGTGATGTAGTTGAGTAATGGATGACAATACTACCAACCCATTCATACCTCAACACTGCACACGTTCCCCCTGCCACGCTCAAATAACACATGGTCCGCGTCTCGGATTTCCTACCCATCATCTCTTGTTAGTCGTCACGTAAGGTAGATTTATGTCTGCCTTACCCCGAAAGGATCCAAACTCCAGCTGTTCCCATCTCTCACCAGCCCCAATATCGAACTGAAGTAATCTGAGAACACGACGGATGCAAACCAAGCACAGTTGATAAGGCGAGCAGTTTGGAATATATCCTCCTCCTGTTTGAGGATTATATTGCCGCGATCGGAATTCTCAAGAGGGATGGAGTTTGGATCGACGTAGGTTCCCCGCTCGTTCAGCTCTAGAAGCATCTTGGCAATGTACTGGTGATGTCAAATTGTAGATGAGCACGACGCATAGATGTATATTATTAGAGATCGAGCGCACGTTGTGGTTACGGTTGAATAGGACAAGTAACACGCATACTGCTGGTGGCAGCAGAAGAAGCCTATCCTCTGCAAACGTGTCGGGGTGCAACAAGCCACGCCCATCGCGTATTCGAACCTTGTTCTGTGTATCCTGGTTATTCCCGTACAGTGGAGCAAGGTCGACATAAGACGATGTCTCATTGATGCTGACGTTCTCGTGTGAGGTACGGAAGACACTGAAGAAACATTCAATCAAAAGTCTAATTATCCAGAATTTCACCCACCTGTGGATGACAAGGGCAGCAAAGGAGAACATCATGCTGGAGAGACCCGCAGGATGCTTCACGAACTAAATGCAATCATAAACGCGTGAGGTCTCTACTAAGCATTGTATGAAGGCATAGAACATACTGCTTCGCGACGGAGAAGTGTATCAAATATGAGCCCGGCATCCGGTAGCTCGTTACGAGGGAGTGGCTGAGTCGGCTGGACACTACGCGCGTAAGGCGTGCCGGCTTTGCCCAAATCCGGCACGGATATGTTGTTGTTTGAACCGTCTGCCGACCGGTATGAATACTCCTTCCCAACATACGTTTCCGGAGGGTGCGCAAGGTCATCATAAACTAGAAACCGGTTCATTCATGGAGACAACTACAGATGTTCATACGTACGCAGCTCAACCACAAGTGTCTGAAGCTTTGATCCTATTGCTGACGTGGAATGGTTCGAAAGGAACACAAGTATGTGTTCGAGCTAGAGGAGTGATTACATCGCTGTATCTCAACGAGGGCATAAACATTCATACAAGCATTTTGCGGTCATCGATGCCATTAGGATGTCTCAGCAAGTTGATGAGACTCTCCTATATATGAAGGTTACGTTGAGCAGCAGGCATGAAGGGAGAGAGCTTACGACTGTCGATATGTCCCCGCTAAACGGTTCCCCTTTTGATATCTGCAAAAGCAGCGTAAGATGCCAGCGCAGTGATGCGCATTTCAATAAAAATTCGTACTTGATCACGGAGAGTAGCAAGGATCTTTTCGCTTCGCCCAGCTATGTCATGCTCAATTCGAGTCGCTTCGTTCTCCTTGAGACCCCTAGTGAGCGCTAAAAGATCCCAATGGGCGATTAGCTCACCATAGAGGAAAACCTGCTGGAACGTGTGGACATGGTGGCACTTGGAGCGAAAGCCTAGGAGAAGGGGGTGGTCAGACGAAACCCGAGCGAGAAGGCCTGGATTTTATACGCCTTTCTATATGAAGGCGCATCTACAGATAACAGAGCAAGAAGGGAAGGCATCCCATCTGTCGCGCGTCAAACATCATGAATGCATGAAGCTTGGAGAACGACATATTAGGTCTACAATTACATCCAGGATCAGCTGGTGATGAAATCGGACAGCGGAGTGCCCTTATTCGACCCGGATGAATTTCCATATCATAACGCAAGCAAGCGGCCAAGACGGCAGAAATGGATGCCGGTCTGCTGTTGTGCCTTCCATGCAGTTGGTGCGGAAACAGTTCACAGAACACGGCGCGTTTACGTTCGTAGACCCGAGAACAGCTTTCACACGTCGGATGGTCACCAACTCCGGCCGTGCGCCAGAATACTGCTTTCCATTCTGGCATAGAGGAGACAATCCGCTGGGACCAGTATACCCAGAGAAGTACTCGGGAAAGCATGAGCGGCCCTGGGCTCTTGAGTAATTGCAGCTTGAAAATAAAGTTCACTCAGCAACTGCTGACCTTGTGCTCACCCGCTGAAATTCTTGTGAATCATTCGGCGACAACAACATCCGACTAAGGCGCGAGAATACTAGGTTAGCATCACGCGGAGCCTCATCGATGCAAATAGCATAGCAAATTGAGAAGCGAAATAGTTGACTTGAACGATGATTGAAGTCGGCTCATGAGCCTTCCAATGATTCGGCGCTACATTGATAGTGCTGACGTGCCACTCGGTTTCCTTTATGGGAAAGCGCCCGTCCATTGGCAAGTGGCAACATCATCTTCCGTTCAGACCTCCAAAGCTTTAAACTTGAGCACGGGCACTAAAGACAGCTTTAGGCAGAACCAGTGTTGGGTGTACCTCATTATATCTGCATCATGGACTCCTCGGAATTATATCATATCAAACAACAGTTTATCCTCGGTACGTGGAGTAAAACTGCTCATATCAAGCATGCTCAATGGAATGGAATGCAGGTGCCTACAAATCACTCGTCGATTTGACCCTTCCGGACACATCCTCCCCAGATTACATCCCCACACTTGTCTACAAGGCTCGGGCGTGTATCGCATTGAACACACCTGAAGCTGTTGCCGGGCTTGTCACTGAAGACACCGAGGACGTGACACTGAAGGCGGTATCTGCGCTCGCACGTTATGTCGGGGCAGCAGACGCGTCAGAGAAGGATGCGTCTCTCGAGGAGCTCCGAGATCTTTGTGTGGAACTCGAGGGCGAGGACGTCGACGCCGATGAACGCGAAAAGAACCTGGTCCATGTCTTAGCTGGCACAGCCTTCGCTCTCGCTAACGAGGTTGAAGAGGCTTTGGAGACCCTTGGAGTTGGGACGAATACGGAGAGCGTTGAAGCGTGCGCGTCCTTTTTGACACCTTGTATTATTATTGTTCACGTCCCCGCAGAGTTGCACTCATCGTCCAAATTTACCTTTCCATTAACCGCCCCGACCTCGCCCGCAAGGAGTTCGAGCGAGCTAGGCGGTGGGCGGAGGATGACCTTCTCCTGCAGCTCATCGAAGCATCCATCGGACTCATCACAGGAAAGGACGGCTACGCGGACTGCAATTCCTTCTACACCGAACAGCTTGGGAATCCATCGCTATCATCGCCACACCTCCTCACTGCCCGCGGTGTTACTCGTCTGTTACGAGGTGAAATCACCGCCGCCAAGTCTGATTTCGAGGAGGCGGTTTCGCAACAAGGCGGCACTGCGGATGCTGAGACGTTAGCAGCAATGACTGTCGCGGCAGGACTAGGGCCGTCGAAGGCCTCCGAGGCTGATCAGCTTTGGAGGTATGTGAGCTTGCTGAATAGATCGAAAAACGGGAGCTGATTTCTTCCTGTTTGAAGTCAACTGTCTAGCGAATACCCGCGTCACCCGCTGGTTGCGGACGTCGGCCGGAAGGCTCAGCTGTTTGATGAGCTTTGTATTAAGTTCGATGTACCACCTCTGGCAGCAGCAGCAGCTTAATTGAGCTTTCATTACACAGTGGTCTGGCTTCGTTGTCATGAGATGTCCATTCAAACCACCTGGTATTATAGAACGCTGATCAAGTTATTCCGTGGTTGCAGGCCGCGGAGGCAGTGATGCTCCTGGCACCAAGCGGGAATAGCGTGCCGGCTACAGCTAAGGTGTAGCCGATATCTCGACGAGTCTCCATGGCAGGTATTTCACTCCTGTCTTGATTTACTCAAGGACTCTGCAGTCTCATGTGTTCAGTTTCACTTCGGGCTCTCAAGTGCATACCTCTTAGGGTGTGAAGTTATCTCGTTGCGTATGGAGCCATTACAGCCCGTGGAACCTTCTCAGTATACCTGTGGTAGAATGTCGCTGCGAATGACATGAAAATTATAGGTGATATTTTCAATATATCTATAGCTGTCCTGGATCTGATCTACGGTAAGTGCGGTTGCTTGTCGGTTTGAGTCGGCAGTCTATAGAGATCTTCTAATCCCCAAACGTCTCTATTGAAGAGGCTACCCGCCCGGGAAGACTAAGTTGATAGTAGTGGTGAGTAGCCACTCGGGGGATTTTAATTTAGGATAGATACGCACCATCCACAACCCAGTGAGCGGTTGAGGATTCATCTAACCCAGGCGACATTTTGGCGGCACTAACTTCCAGGATGGTCCAGTGTCTCCGATTCGCATGGGTCTTGCCCTCCGGTTTAGTACGTGACTACATATATCACTATGGCTGTCGAGTCTCGATAGCCCACAGGTAACAGCGAAGGCAACTGCGATGAAGTTGATAGAGGCGGACATGTCTAATCTAGTACTGGAGGAACCACCTTCCATGAAGTGCGTTAGTTGAATTTTTGACGAGTAGTTCTACCTCACATTCCCAAATTTCACAGCTCTGACCCTGTATGTTCCAGATGGCACTCTTACCATTAAAAAAGATGCTAAAATTGAACACGATTCGTGGCTCCTTACAGCTACTAGATCTAGAGAATTTACCACAGCTGGTCTTTCCGCAACTCGACACGAGGACAGCATCGGTACAACTATCAACCAGATTCCTCTGGAGCTACTGTCCGAGATCTTTCTCAGTCTCCTCTAACTTTTGGTGCCCCCTATCCAGTCCGTCTCTGGGCATCGAACCTAGCGAGAAGGAAGGGCGTTGTCACCGTCAACCATGTATGCCACTATTGGGGGAATGTATCTTTGGCCACTGCCCTCCTTTGGACCAACGTTGATGGTAGTAGGCTTGAATGTCAAGACATGTCGCAACAACGCGCTAGTTGTCTCCCAATGCATATCACAGCGCACTCACCGATTGCCCTTGAACGATCGTCGTTCAATTTTCATCTCTGAGAGCTATTCTGCGAAGACCTCTATGTTGACAATCCCTACCAACTTCGATTTTGCGCTCCTGAACTTGAACAATTAACACTGATATTCGACTCAAGCTGCATACAAAGATTCTCCATGTCAATCAAGCTGTTCAGGGGACACGCCCTTAAGCTTCACGTGTTGGTGATGGTCAACTTCAAGCAGCCTCCGGAAAATACGTTCGCAATTCTGATACTTCCATCTCTGTAGATCTATGCCAAGACCCAGAGAATCGACACTCCCACAGTTGATTGTTTTATTGCTCTCCGAGCTGCAACGCTGCTTCATAGCATACCATCAAAACCTTCATCCTGTTTCCTTGCCAGATCTTTGTATGCTCACTCCCTACAAAAATTGACAATGCTGCCATTTTGACTCATGTGGTGTTTGAGGGCCCTACAGTGGTCAGTCTTACTAGTCGAAGTTTTGGAAAAGAGCCCATTTCGCCCGCGGACTGTGCAGCGTATCTGATATGAGTGGAGTTGCGAAATTGACCATACAGCCCCAACGCAGTGCATTTGGCACCTCCTTTCACTTGTTGGCTGCGGGATTATCGTCTAGCGTAGGTCTCTGCAATGCAAACCAACATATTGTGGACATTTGATACATGGTCGACATACAAGAAGTATAGATCCATGTATTTGAGACGGTAGCATACGAAACCTACGGAGACGTCTCACAGGTTCCCTCGATGGTCATACCCGAGACTCGGATGTCACTGGACAAGGTACGCACATCCATTATGGGAGCCCTGGGATTCAGAATTTTGGGCCCGGGAGCCTCAGTGATCTATATTGGTCCCGGTGCTATTGGTTCGGAATACTTATTGATCCCGTGTGTGGCATTTCGTGCAAACCGTACTATGATATCACCGGCTCGTACTACTAAAGTTGGGGATCAATAAGCTTGAATACCTTCCGGAGTCCTCTCTGTTACCTCACCTATGTGTTAATCTCTAGATTACAACGTCCACATTTCGCACTTTGCATGCCATGGACATACTTAGAACAACAACTGTTCAATTGCCACTTGGCAAAGGACCCAATCCGAGGATGTTCTATTCGCAGTGTGACATATAGCTCACGCGTGGAGTCACGCGTATGGAGGGCTCGAGAGTCACAAGATTTGTCACAGGACGACTTGAAACTTGAAAGTCAATGATTGTCCCTTGAGTCGAGTCGGTTCTCCATCGTGTGCATTCAAATCTGCGTCCTTCAGTTCAAAGCTGCTTATACCCTGAACCGCCGCGTACTGAATTGTCATACATGCAGGCAACATTAGACTCTTCATCACTGCGACGTGAGCTATCACCGAAGGAGCGTTTTACAATGCTCATACCAATAGCTTAATTTAGAATTCACTAGGGCATTGACATGTCTGTCGAGATATGGAGAGGATCTCATTATATACGCTACACCAGATTTGCTTTCTCTATCTACTACAAATTCATCCAAGTCCGCGTACTGTCGGTTTCAGTATAAGAGACAGTTCTTCAGCAGACTCAAAGTTGGGAATCCAGCAGTCGAAGCGTCGACTGGCGAGGATGCTGAGGAGACTCCCTCAGTGATGGGGCAATTACTCACGAAGGTATGTTTTGCCGACTTGCCAGAATATGAAGTATATCATGTCTGATATCGTGCAGACACTTCTGCCTATTTTGAAACATAGGGCCGTGGAGAAATCCGTAGAAAAATGCGAGATGTACATTAGTACGGGAGATCAGAGGCTACAGGACGTCGCAAATGACGACGACGTGGACTCGCTGGAGAGCAAGCTGACTGTGCGTCTCCATTGTAAACACGGTAATTTGGTTGCGCATCTTCCTTCGTGCTACCTGTCGGTGGCTGCAGATGACGGATTTGCTAATACGCCCTTTCAGGTGTTATAAAGACTCATCGTCTCTCACTGCTCATCCCAACTTCGCTGCTCGCACCAAGTGTACCTGAAACCTTCATTCAATCCCGCCTGAGGATTGGACCTCAAGCCCTGCGGGACATTGTCGAACATTTTCCGTCTTCTCGTGGCAGCAAGAGTGATCCACAACTCGTTTGGAGGTTTAATCATCGTGACGTCCAGGTGAAGAGTCTGGAAAACTCTATAGATGGAAAGGGTCAGTATCTGAATCCCGTATGGATCGAACGGTCTTAACTCGACGTAGGCAAAGTTCAATTATCGACTGAGTTGACGATTAGCAAAGATGAATTTGACAACTACGACATCTGCGACCTACCAACTACTATTGCATTCCACCTCCGAGAGTTCAACGTAAGTGATTTCCGTATACGCCTCCTTGTTTTCCAACTTAGCAGGAACACCCCGCATGTAGGCAACGATTGCGTATGCTGAGGCATCTTCGCTTACTCTTGATATCAGCTTTACGGATCCGTCTGCACCACTATTCATTATGCTTGATAGTGATTCGCTGGAAACGCTTTTCGTCATATCCACAAGTCTGCACGTTGCTAGGGACGAAACGTCAAGTGCGAAGAGCAATGAACATTCTTCTCGCTCGAAGACTACTCTTCACGCTCATGCGAAAGGCAAAAAGCGGACACGTGAGGAAGAGACTGCGTCCACCCCCAATGAGGATACTTCAAGCGCGGGTATGGACTCCCGGGATGTTGAGAGATTGCGACCAGCTCTTCAATCCAGGAAGCCCGCACGAATTGTAGTGACGACCGACCAGTCTTCGAATGAAGGAGAGTCGCACAGCGAAATGCCCATGTCACTTCCCCGATCCTCGCGCGGGACGATGCCTCCGCCGTCACTACCACCCCCGCTTGCAATGTCGGCCCCTCGAGAAGCATTTGTAAGCCTATCCGAAGCGCTTTTCCCACCTCCGTCACATCCGCGCAAGACCGAACCTCTATTTTTGCCCAGCTCACAGCCGTCAGAGGAGAATGTGAGTATCCATGAACGTCGCGTCCTGCGGGAACCCCTGTTTCTCCCAGGAACGCAACTGTCACAAGCAGATGAACAGGCGATCCGAGAGTCAGGGCTAGGCATCGAGCACATGACAGCGGAGGAACTTACGGCCATGCTTGAAGGAGATGCTGAGGATGTCAACTTTGGTGTGGCGAATGGCGAGCGCGACCAGGACAGGTGTGAAAGGGAGACTAGCCTGGATATTTACGATGAAATGGAGATGGGTCCGACACAGCGTAGTGGAGGGCCGAAGGTGCGTGCCGTATACCTGATGAAACGCGTAAAAGAATTTCACATTCTCATTTCATCCAGGCGTTCAGGCCACTTTTCGAAGATTAAAACTATTATATCCTTGTAAATGTAATTTCCATAGTTGAGTGCTGATTTACATATACTATGTGAGTCCTAGCGACACAACACAGTGTCCCAGGGCAATTGCCTAATATATATTCGCCGCGGCGCGTACTTCGAGATCTTGAACCTCTACATAATTTGTGGTATGTGATCGTAAGGTCCATAAAAAGGCGCAAGACAGGATCGTGGCTAGGAAGGGCATCAGCAGGCTAATTGAACAAAAACTGTGGATGTTCGCTTACACAGAGGGGACAACAATCGATGATCAACAGGAACTACAAGCTCGACATGCGGTTTGTTGCGTACGACAGCTCCCCGTGGAGATATATATCATGCAGATCAAGAGAGCTCTTCTTCCTGCGCACTGCACGGGCAATCGGAACTTCACACACCGTCGCCTCCTTTGGTAATTTTAATGTCTCGTCATCGGTATGAGGGAAAGGGGTATCGTTTGTTTGGGTATGCAGGGGTGCTGAGGGCATGAACATAGCAGGCGACATGTGGGGCGGTATATTCGTGAGCATGGCGAGCGTAAATCGTGAGTCGTGAGAGGTTGTTGGGTTAAGACGAAGAGTGATGAATAGCTACCCTATCGTTGTTAACGCAATATATAGCTGCGGAACTGAGCGGTCACGTCCACCCGACGTTATGGAGATTCAGAAGATGGTCACGGATGGTCTCCAAAGGAGCGCAAGCATGGTCCGAGTGGCCGCGGGGTCCGGAGTGGACACACCGACGTCACTGGGCCCGGACCACAGTGCTCAGCCACCGCCGTTCGGATGCGTAGACTCGTAAAACTAGTCATTCGAACGCATTTGAAATCTGCCTTTTCGGGAGGAGCGGTGTTTAAAAAAGGATCTCGGTTTCGGTATCCAGAGGTGCGGAGACTGACGGAATTTTAAACCGAAACGGCTGGGTACGAGCCTATCGTGGGTAAAACGCGGTGTCCCGTCGAGTTCGCGTCGAGCATGTGCGTAACATGCGTCAAAAGAGATCGCATTTTTCACTCGATTTTCTGAGCTCGAACATTTGATATTGCAGGACAATGCGATCTCTCGCGGCCAGTCTCCGACGCATGTTCGACCTTCGTCAATTGCCCACGGTGAGTGACTAAAGCGACGGTTGGATCCGGTTGGACGCGCTCCTGTGCCAACAAATTAACGTTTCAACTCCCCCTTGCTTTGCAATCTGCATAGTGCTAGTACACGAGTAACGTTGTCAACGTTGCCATTGTCACGAGGCTGGGGAGCCGCCATCCTAAACGAAGGTGATGAGATTTTGAGACATAGGGCGCTGAGGTGCGAAATGAATTATTGTTGACAGTCAGAAGAACGACACAAACACCACAACTTGACTTAGGTCATTTGTTCGTCATATATCAGCATTTATCAGTAGCACTGAGTGCTATGTACGTGCGCAGGTAAATCATACGACCGTACATAGCCTATCAAAACAACTCGAGAGACATAAAACTAGATTCGCGAGAGCAATGTACAGTGATCACAATCCATGAAACACTTCATTGATAATGAAGTTCTCAATCTGAAGTCACCCGTAGATCTGTTGATTAGACAGACGTACGTTGTTCAATCTCGGCGCTTCACCAGAACCGATGCAGAGTGGATGCACATAATAACTGCTCGGGCAGAAAGACGCCGTAAGAAAAAAAATGAAGACAAGAGAAATTACACAGAAAAATGGAGACATAAAAGAGTACTTCACATTGAAAAGGGTGGCAATCAACGTAGCATACAGTTTAATGGATCAATGAGCAGAAGTCAAGAGGCGATCTGGCTCCTGGTAGGAGCGGAGAAAACGAACAGAGGACCTGAGAGAAAATACGCGACTTTTATAGTCACGAGATTACATAAGTACCAGGCGCCTTTGCACCAGACATCGCGACTGCAGATTGCTTACATACAGTACTCCCTCCTATGCCTCCTCGACGCGGAACCGCTAGCAGTGGCACCAGTCTTAAAAATGTCTTGGAGCACCTGAAGAGCGAAAAGGTCAAGGAACGCCAGGAAGGCCTCGCAGCGCTCCGTACAACTTTTGCGAGCGATAGTGCCGTACTGAATCTCGATGCCACCGGGGATGGACGCGCCTGGCTCGCTGTATTTCAGGCTTTATTCACGGCAGTAGGTACGGAGCGGGCCGCATACATAAAAAAAGGCGAGTCTGTTGTGGTGATGCGGAGACTTGGCGATGCAGCCTCGGCTGTTCGGTGGCTGGTGGAACGCTCCGTCGCACGGATGAATAACAAGGTCCTCAAGTCGCTCTATCTACATCTATTGCAGACAATGATTCATAAAGGTCGGCTTTTTGCACCACTTGCCTTAGATTACATCAAGGCCCTTCGTTGCATATTGGGTTGGACGCCACACATGGAACATCTTCGGGAGGAACTATGGGTGAGAATATTGGAATTGGGATTGAATGTGGTTCTTGGGGATCCGATTAGGAGGCGTTTAGACGAGGATGTGGATGATCCCAATGACGAGACGGAGGCTAGTGTGGCCACCGGAACAGACGTAGAAATGTTTATGGACGAAGCTGACGAGGACTTGGGTACGCCATCCACTTCCACTACTATTTCTCAAAGAAAGCGCAAGCATCGAAGTCCCGATCCAAAAGGATGGCGCGGTGGAATTTTCACTGGCAGTCCCGCACCAAGGTCGCAGCCAGTGACATTGGAGCAGATCGAATGCATGTCTATTTTGGCTCTTTTGTTACGCTCTTCCTCTGCACCACTTCTTTCGTCCAATCACACATATCTGTGCGCAGCCCTCTTTGACCGTCTAGCACGTTTTATTCGCGTGTATCCGGGCGACTCCTCGCTGCACCACGATTATCTACTTGCCCTGTCCGCTGCTCTTTCCCATGCGGCGCTGAATGCTCGCGCGGGAATAAGTAGATTTGCCAAAGATGCGTGGGATGGGCTACTTGGCATGTGGGGTACGAAGAATCAGAGGATGAAGCAGGACTTGGTCGTCGTACTGCGCACGCTTTTCCCTTACTTCGTTGAGGATTGGGCAGAAAACGAGGAGTTTTCTCATGTGGACTTCGGAGATGGTGTCATTAAGCTATGGCAGCTACTCAATAGCGAAGCCGAGAACCGCTGGGGCGTCAACGGACTCTCTTTGGATTCACTGCGACTTCAACTTGTACACACAGGCGATGAAAACGAGCATTGGGCTTTCGTTGCACCGACAGTACGTTACGGATGGGATTTTGACGCCAATCAAGCACTAGCTTGGGTTATGCTTGAGTTACAAGCAGATTGTATCGAGAAGGTGAGGACTTAATCACCATTATCTTAATCTTTGCGTACTCAGATCACCCTCCAGCTGTATCACCTGGTAGAATTTGCGCACTCTACAGGTTCTAGCAGTGGCAGGGGCAAACGTCCTAAGCTCGAAAATCCAATTACCAGCCTCCTGGAAGCGATTCGACTCAAACTCACGTCACATATACGGACATATCATCTGCAGGTCCTATTATTCGTTATTCACAGGCACTGGGCAATCTTACATCAAGGTCTGAGGCAAGAAGTGGTCTCAGTCTTGCTCCAATTTGTGTCCTTCGAGGATGGTATTGTGCAGTCCTGGGTATTCCTCTGTCTCGCTGCCATCGCACATGCCGATGTCACTTGCCCCAGAAATCCGTCGTCTAACTGTGTATCTCCCTCCCTTCCATTTAGTACTACCACCTGGGACAACGTGTGGGCCCATTCAATGCGCCGTACCAACGTCCCAGCTGTTAGCCGCGCTGCTTGTCATACTGCATATGTCCTTCTCTGTCATGCCGAAACCCTCTTGACGTCCCACCGTGTTCTAGCCGAAATTGAAACCTTTGCCAAGGATCTTGATGTCCAGGGTCCTGCATTTCCCTGTGATTCGGTCTGCTCTTTTCTTGTCTTATCTCTTCGTGTCGCAAGTCAAGACGTGCGATTGTACAGGATGCAGCTGGAGGAGAAAGCGCTCACATGGCTGATAGATTCTTGGAGGGTGCAACCCGTAAAGAGGCTTAGAATGCCACTCCACACTCCTGGAGATATCCTAATGTTACTAGAAGGCATCTGCTCACTATCGCGGAGAAGTGGTCTCATATATGCCATGCAATTGCCCGAATGCTCAGTCGTAGAGGCGCTGGTTGAGCACCACCAGACAGCTGTCATTCGGGACTTTTTCTTGCATTCACGACTACCTCCCCTTCGGAAAGGTACCCCAACAAACGACAGTCATTTACCGCAAGCAACGGCTATCGACAGCGGTGCTGGGACTCTAGCTGGTAGTTCAGATACCCAGGACTTGATGCTGCCACGCGGCCGGGAGCGTCGAATATCCGCTTTCCTCATGAAAAATATGGAGGAGTTGATATCCGGTGGGGACAGCCATAAGGAGACATCAGGCTCAGTGACAGCGGAGAAGGTTAGATCATCACTTGATATATCACTTCTTGCCCTCTCTTTCGAGGCCACCTTGATTTCGAATGGAATACGATCCAATAGGCGCACAATACAAGCCGCGTGCAGACTTATTGAAGCCACAGTTCCTCTCATCTCGGCGAAGCGATGGACGCTTGAGGAAAGAACATTGATTCTTGCCGGACTAGAGCCTTTGGTGCTCGTTGACAGCCGCCATGGAGATGTTACCACCTGGGAGACTTTGGTGCTTCCTGACGAGAGCAGTGGCGTCAGACAAAGAGTATTGAGAGACATCAGGCCAGCTGTCGACTGCTCAGCGCTGCAGGCGGCTGCAATGCGCCGTGATATTCAACGTCTGATCTTCCAAAGTGTAGACGTCAGTGTTTTACCATTGTTGTGCAATAAGCAAATAACAAAGTTCCAGGTCCAAGATGTCTTTGCTGAATTGACAGCAGCATTACGACGAGTCCTTCGAATTGTGGTAGGCGATGTTGATGGTGATGAATCTCTTGATGCAATGGAAGTTGACGAAAAGGATGACTTTGGACCGGTCAGAACGAGTCAAACTCTCGTATCATCCATTCCGACCCAGCAAGGAGTAAGAGGCGTATCCTTAAGCCGCCTCACAGTCGATATCTGTATGACTGCGCTCACCGTAATCCCAATTCTACAATCGACTTCGGGAGAGCCCACACGAGACAAAGATCTTGCAGACATGGTTCTCAGCTGTCCAGATGATCGATTTTTCTTCATGGCTCCAGCTTTCTTCGACAACGTACGCGAAGGCACGTTGGCTCTCAGCGCCTCTAATATGCACAAATTTTTAGACAGATTTGGAGACCTCCTTCAGCGGTATGATTTCTCGAAGAGTGAACGATTGCAGTTGATGGTTGTTCACTTCCTCAACTCTACCCGCAATGTGTGGCTGCAAGCGGCGGTGGCTTCAGGTCCTATTGGTACACAAATCCGAGAGCTATGGGAATGGTTTTGCGAGATGCTGGACAAGAAGCAAGTGCCTTCGTGGAGGATCCGAGATCTTCTGGTCCGCTTCATTGACGACTATCTAGCGCATGATCCTGAGCAGAACATGTTCATGAAGTACGATGCACATCACGATGCGGTTGCCATCTTGGATGATGATGATAGTGAGCATTGGAAAGAGCGACACGACGATGACTCTGACATTAAAGGGCTTTTACCATCCGCTTTACTCCCGAAGTTGGGAGCCGACGTGGATATTCGGGTTAGGTTTCGTGCCGCCGTCGCCAACGCGCGCCTACTCCGCTTTGCTCGTAAGCTCTCTCAGAATCCGTCTACGCTGTATGCTACGATCAAAAAACATCTCACCGTAACATTGGAGAAGTGAGCGTCATTGCTTGTATCGAGACACCGTATTGATGCGCTGGTTCAGCTATGAGCACATGCTAACTCGTCTGCTCTGCCTTGGCAATATCATTATCGTAAGCTCTGCCGTGCGACGTGGACCCTACTGGCATCTTCTGGAGACCTGTCTGCACACGCCGCTGTACACAAAGCATATAGAATCCGTCTTAACAGGTGCTGCAGGAAGATTAGGCCTACCTCACTTATCCGGATTATTTGAAGCCTATGCATCTCAACTCGCCTTTTCAATACGCCAGGGTGGCTACGATTTCCTGAGTTTTCCAGCTCACCTATTGGGTTACCAAGACAAGAGACAGTGTGCTGAGGCTTCGTTCCGTGCTTTCACGCCAACGAACCTAATTGCGCATGGCACACGAGACGAGAAAGCACACGGAGAGAAGTTATTTGTTAACCATTGCAGAGCAGTCCAATTATCCAAATCGGAGGGCATTCGCGCTTGTTTTTCTGATATTGTTGGATACCAAATTGTTATTTGGACGGAGGAGCATTCCGACTCGGAAGATTCGATGCAAGACTTGGAAGATGTACTGAAAGCCGTAACAAGGGATATTGGTGATCAGGGTGACTTCGAAGCTCTACTGAATCAGAATGCGGACGCCATCTTCGCTGCCATTCTTCGTACGCTTGGCGACCAGGACGTGAGCCCGGATGGACCTATTGTCTACGGTCTGTCAGTAGCAGGCTACCAAGACGATTCTATCCGAACCTTTCATCATCTCAGCCGTTACCGTTTGGCAAACTCATTCGCGTCCCATGAACCAAATCTCCCATGCTATTGTACTCAGACAGTCCTGGAGTCTTTAAAATGGCTGATGACACGGGTCCCGAACATCGATGTAGCCGCCATCACCTACCATATCTTGCACCAACTTTTTGCCGACATCGAATGCTCATCCGTTCTCAACGAACAAATGAGGCTCTTGAACGGGATTACCCTTTGGGTAGCTGCAAACCACCTTCATTTTAGGGATTATACGCTTCTCAGAACGATTGGAAACATGGCAGCAAGCTTGTTGGCCCAACCAGACCTTGCCCGCGCTTCGCAATCTATATTGGAATGGTGTTTCGGCTTATACAGCGCGCACGCTGCGAAGGACACCAACGTTCCAGATATCTTCATTCGTGTTAGCTGTCTCGCTCATATGTATTTTCAGGAATCCCAGAATTTGTCTTTGGTAGCTATAGGGCGCGATATTTTGCAGTGGATCGAAGAACAGGCATCGGCCTTATGCGAAAGCAACGGCGTGCTCAAATCTCAAATCGTTCAAGCTCTTGCTGCTTGGCCACAAGAGCTGCCACCGATGTTGCAAATGTATCGGGACGCAATGAATCTGCATGAGCTATCTTCTGTCCTTGGAGATCATCGCATTTCATCAAACAAGTTTCGTCTGGTTCGGCGCCTTCGTGATCTTACATCGAACGAACATAGCAGCAAACACGATGATGGAGCATTCATGCAATCAGACTTTTGGCGTCTGAAGGAATGCATTCCACCAGCAGCTCAGTTGGTTGATGACGATATTGACGCATTTGCATCACTCCTGATTCGCAACCACGGACAAGTCGATAGCTTTGGAGTCGTCCACGAACGCCACTCCCTACAAAACGCACGAGTCATGCATCGTAAACTGTCGATGAAGAAAGAGCCAAGCGATCGTTCGAACGCCGCGTACCATGCTATCACTTTCAGCTTGCTGACAATGCTCGATGCTACTATCATCGATAGGATCCATGTTGCGTATTGCACATTGCGAACGCTGATGTCGACTCATGCACTGGATAATTCTCGATCATGGCTACATGGTTACAGAGGGGATCTACACTATCTGCAGCTATACTCAAGATCGTCTACACCGAGACCAGCAGTCAACCTGTACGAAGAATTGGCCTCAGTTCGTTTCCTGGAGCTTTCCGAACATTTTTCTGACTGGGTACCACAGTTTGCTACACTGCTGTGTGATTCTTTGAGTAATCATGACCCGTTCTATGCTGCCCTAGTCCCCATTCTCCGGAGTGACATCCACTTTGCAGAACAAGTTCTCCCAGTTCTAGTGCAGGCCATCTTAGCCATTGAACGCTCTGAGGGCTCTGGTGTACTTCAAAATTCGTGTCCAATTCGCGAACATCTATCACAATATCTTGCGTCTATCCTAGCTCATGACTTGGCTCATATATCATGCTTGCGAGTCCTAGTCGATATCGTATTGCACCTGCGCTTCTTTAGGCCAGCTGGTAGTAAGGACGCACTGGCTCACGATAGTTGGCTTCGCGTCGACTATACTCTTGTAAGCTTGAACGCAATCAAATGTGGGGCATACACCACTGCCTTATTGCTTCTCGAGTTGGCAGCAGAATACAGCGATACGACATCCCCTAATGCCAATGTCACCGAAGAGATCCTGTTCGAAATTTATAGTCACATTGACGAGCCAGATGGGTTTTACGGTATTCAAACTCACGATCTGAGAAGGTTTCTCATCAGACGGCTACATCACGAACAACAATGGGACAAGGCTTTCCGCTTTCACGGTGCGGCACTCGAAGCCTGTACTAGCGATACGAACAACGCACGTGGTGTAGTGGAAGCGTTACATTCCTTTGGATTTGATCACCTTGCGATGACTTCTTTGGGGATGCTCTCCGAGAACTCCGAAGAAAGCACAAGTCCGAACGCAATGGTATACCATCTTGGCTGGCGCACGCAGACCTGGGATCTTCCGGAGCCGTTGGATGGACATTCTCAAGGCGCTTCGTTATACCTTGCGCTTAGATCCGTGTATAAGGAACGAAACCCGCATACGATCGATCAAGTTGTCCACAAAGCGCTGACAGACGAGTTGATGCATTTGCGACATTTAGGGGACGAAAATTTAGCTGAAGTTCACCAAGTCCTCCAGAATATTATGTGCTTGAGCCAAGTCCGATTCTGGAGAGCAGAAGCCCTACATTACGTGAAGTCTGACCTCAAGGCAGGCGATAAAAAATGGGACGATTTCATCCGTATAGACCGAGATTTCGAGTGAGCAGATAGATTTACGGCTTATTATACATAGCTGAATTGTGCACTAGATTTCGCAATACAGAAGCGATCCTGGCCACTCGTATAGCGCTTGTACGGTCCGCAAGGCAGAAGGAGCAGCGCGAACAGATTGGCAATTTGTTGTCTCCATTATGCCGGGATCTGCTTGACCTCGAAAGAAAATGTTTGACCTGCCTATCAGAGGCTGCTCGTCATGCTGTTTCCTCGCAGATTGCTTTAAACGCTATCTCAAAAGCGCAGAGCCTAGAGCAGAGCATACCGTTAGATGTTTCCCTCGAATTTGCTAACGTTTTGTGGCTTATGAAGGAGCCAAAGTTAGCCGTTCAATCCCTGAGCGAGCTCTCTTCCGACATTCAATCTAGGTTTTCACTGGACAACTCACAGGATAGCATCCAGACTGCTCTTTTACTAGCACGTTTAGTAAGCACTGATGCTTATTATGTGATATTGAATCTTACAATTTGACCAGGGTACTTGGTCAGCTGAAGCTTCTCTACGGAAGCCAAGTGAAATCATGAGTCAATGCTTTGATCCCGCAATTCTCATTTTGGCCCAACATGAAAGCCAATCGCCCGCAGTACTGTTGTCCGAGCAAGCCGTTATTTTCCACCAATATGCAATTTTTGCTGAACGCCAGTATCATATCATTGCGAACTCCCCCGACGCGTTGCGGTGGAGGGTCTACGTCGACCGGAAGACCGAAGAGATCAAGCAAAGACAACATCAAATCCAACGAACACAGCCTGGCACAAAAGAACATGTGGATCTTGTCAGGCTACTTGAAAAGGCCAAGGCAGTATTAAGACAGGATCGAGCCCATTTTACAGATCATACTCGGTCTAGAGATTCTTTTTTGGCTCGTGCTGTAGATATGTATTCTCGCTGCTTACTCGCCTCTGACACATTCGACAACGATTCTGTTATTCGGCTATGTTCTTTGTGGCTCTCGGTCTTCGACAAACCGGATCCTGCCCTGGGCTTTGGGGTCGCGCTGGATCGTGTACCTTCCCATAAATTTGTGTTCCTTGCCCATCAACTTGCCGCTCGGTTGTCAAGAACGTCTCCTGGACAAATTACAGTGAACCAGGATTTACTTCAAAAGTTATTTGGCCGGATGTGCCGTGAACATCCCTTCCACAGTTTGTATCAGGTATACTGTCTAAGAGGCGAGCATCCCTCGGGACAGGCGTTATCCAGAAGACAATCGGGAAGGCTAGAATCGCAATCAGCACAGGCAGACCGAGTTGCTGCTGCTGTGGAGCTTTTTGACCGGTTGCGAGGCGATATGAGTTGCCAGAAACGCGTGTTGGACATAGAGCTTGTCTGCGACGCCTCGTTAGAATGGGCCAAATATCCCATAAAAGATCGTTTTCAGCGCAATTCTAAAAGTCCACTCCAAATTCCAGATGATCTCCGTATACGCTCAATACAGAACATCTCCGTGCCAGTTGTTACAGCTTTTACACCGGTTGACCCCAGTACACGGTACGCAGATTGTATATGGATTAGCTTTTATGAGCCTGTTTACACAACGGCCGGAGGAGTGAATCTGCCGAAAATCACAACATGTCGTGGAAGCGATGGAGAGACGTACAAGCAGCTGGCGAGCATTCTCTCTGGCACAAACGGACTACATGCTAATGTCATCAGTACAGTTCAAAGGAGAGGGCGGAGACGATCTCCGACAAGATGCTGTTATGGAGCAAGTATTCCATCTCGTCAATGTTGTTCTTCATCTCGATCGCCAGACTAAGAGACGAACACTCAGCATCAGAGACTACAAGGTCATTCCTCTGGCTTCCCAAGCAGGAGTGCTCGAATTTGTACAAAACACGTCACCACTAAACCACTGGCTTAGTGGTGCTCACGTTCGGTGGGAATTTTAGATTTGTATCATTCTCTAAACTCACTTACTTCGCGCATGGCAGCTATCGGCCAACAGATATATCTCCTGGCGAAGTTGGAAAACAACTCTCTAAGAAACATGTGGAATGCAATCACGAACGCGGCCCCTTATTGACGCTCTTTACCGAAATTCGCAAGAAATTTAAGCCTGTGATGCGGCATTGGTTCATGGAAAAGCATAAAACGCCAATGTCTTGGTTCGCAATGCGTCTAAAGTATGCCCGCAGCGTTGCGACCACATCTATTGTAGGACATGTCCTGGGGCTAGGCGACAGGCATACATCCAACATCTTGATGGACACTAGCACCGGTGAAGTTGTTCACATCGACCTTGGAATAGCATTTGATCAGGAGAGTACCTGTCGGCAAAATACCTGTCAAACCATAACTTACCTGTTTCTTGCTATAGGGAAAACTGCTGCCTGTCCCAGAACGGGTGCCATTCCGTTTGACCGCGGATATGGTCGATGGACTGGGCATCTCAGGAACTCAAGGTGTATTTCAGAGATGCGCTGAAGAGACTCTGCGCGTCCTACGCGATCAGTCAGAACTCATCCTGACCGTGCTAGAAGTGTTCAAGTATGATCCACTCCATTCATGGTATGTTTGAGTGACAATTTCTGTACACTTCTCGTGGCAAGCAGCTCACCATTGCTTAAGGACAGCGAGTGAGCTCAAAGTCAAACGGGCGCAAGGTTCAAATGAGACAAGCGTTCAGCTGACCGGCGAGGCCATGCGTCTTGCTATTGGAATCGACATGGCCAGTGGCACAGCAGACGAGGCAGCAGATCGGGCGTTGTCGGCAGTCAATCGCAAGCTCGACAAGACGCTGAGTGTTGAGTATGTTGTAAACGAGCTCGTTGCCGAAGCTACAGATTTGGGCAACCTTGCCCAAATGTATCACGGTGGGGATTTTGTACCACATTGATGCACTGCTAGAGCTGAAAGAACGACAATTATGTAGGATGGGGTCCCCACTTTTAAGACGATATCTATATTGAGCATTCAACAACCAGCACGGTAATTTATTTCCAGCGTTCACAATTGTAGCATACAATAGACATCTGCAGATATCAATTCCGCGATCATCCTTTCTTTACTACATCTACGACGACTTACACAATAACTTACCAAGTATATCTGAAGATATCATCGTAGCCACTTGCGTCCAATTCTTTTCTAACTTTGAGCGAATACATCCTACATACTAAGATGAAGATGGAGGACAGGTATTACTGAGCACAGGTATAAACCACAAACGAGGGGCACGATGTATGGATACAACCATGAGACTGGACGCAAACGCCAGCAACACAACCCCACGCTACGAGTATTGAGCCGCGATGAGCCACAGCATTCCCGCACAGCAGACACATGAACCCACGAGGAGCTAAAACAGGGTGATGATAACTATCTGGACAATGAACGTAGATCGATGCACGACATAACATGTTGATAACAACCAAAAACGGGGATGGTACATGTGTTCTTGCCCTCATTTCTTGTTAATCTCCCGTGCAGCCTTGATGAGAGGCGCCAGCGTCCGCAGGGGCTCAGACAACTTGAAGAAAGGGTGCTACAGAAATGGTGGTGAGAAGTCGAGCGCAAAGACTATTAAAGAGGACCATACCTGTATGATTTCGGATGCTGTGGGCCGCTTCTCAGCATCAACTTCTAGCGTCTTCGCAAGGTAGTCACGGAACACAGTCGATAACGCCTCCGGGTTGGCAATCGTCGGCGTTCCGTTGGTCGCGATGAGGTACAAGGCCTTGAGGGGATTTTGATTGAGGTACGGAGGTTCACCTTCAATCATTTCTAGTAAACGGGGGTGAGTATGGAAATCCGATGGTTGCAGTCACATATCGTACCAATGGCCATAATTCCCAAGCTCCAAATGTCTACTTTTGGCCCATACTCTTTACGAGTGACAACCTCTGGAGCCATCCAGTAAGGTGTGCCCACCATTGTCGTTCGCTTTGAGTTGTTATCAGAGATTTGAGCACAGAAACCAAAATCGGCTGCATGACATGTCAATGATATGACCCAGGTGTGACATCAAAATACGTACTGAGTTTAATATCACCGGTCATGCTCAAGAGGACATTGTCACTCTTGATGTCTCGGTGAATAACTCCGTGTCTATGCAAGTGTTCAAGACCTTGTGCCGTTTCTCGTGATACAGCCGCGATCTGGCCCTCAGTCATCAAGTTCGCGGTGACGACGTCTGTGAGGGAGCCACCTTCCATATACTCCATGACGACCCACAGCTCATTCTTGTGTAGAAATGAATCTATATAATTGACAATGTTCGGGTGCCGAGATGCACGCATGACGAGGATTTCGTTAATTATGAGATCCTTCTTTGGCTGCTTGTCGAGATCCATTTGCTTGATAGCAACGGAAAGGTTCGTTCCCACTTGGTACGCGGTATAAACACCCCCAGACGCGCTAAGAGCACGCGTCAGTCTATCAAAACCGCGTGCGAGGATACAGCAGAACATATGAACTCACCCAGCACCAATCTTGACCAGATTCCGATATAACCTCGTAGGGTCTGCGTCCGTACAAATTGCCTGTAGCCGCTTGACGATGTCGCTCTCCTTATCCTTGTCCTTCTTCTCCCTTCTTCGGGGAGTCGCGCCGGCAACCTTCTGCAGGCTCTGTGCGGCGGCACTTGGCTGCTGGGCAGCAACAGAGCGCACTTCATGAGTGCGCTCCTGCATCGAAGGCGAGGCTTTGAGTTGAAGATCTGTTGTGGATGACCCAGGTGACGATTTCGATGGCTTTGATTGGAATGCGGGCGGCAGAGGCGCCTGCTGACCTGGCCCGGGCGAGCGTCGGTCTCTGGTCGTGTTAGCACGAGCCAGTTGGTCGCTAGATTTGTGTGGCTTCGAGAGGGGAAGACGTTGTGAGGTGGAGCGATCGAGGGCTGGGGTAAGTGGTGCAGGAGGGCGCGGTGCGGCACGGTGAGCGGTGGGTGTGCCTTGGGATGAGTGGGGAACGGAAGACTTTTTCGGAGGCGGAGGGGCAGTCCGCTACAGTTCGATTAGATATTTCCCTAGGAAATCTGCAATAGCGGCTTACTGGACTCTGGAATCCATCATCGACATACTGCTTCGGCTGAGGCGCCAGCACGGGTGGAGGTGCAGCTATGCTACCCATCTTGTCCCAGACTGATGTATCGCCACGACCTTCCTGGTAGAATTTTACGATCTCCATGACTGCCTGCGGGTTCTTCTCCTGCTCGACCTTCGAGATACCGCTGTCTTGCAAGAGCTGCTGCCACTCCTTCGGGAGACCAGTAAACTCACCAGTGGATGAGTTGAAACCGACATGCGTGAGATGTACTGGATCGTACGGCGTACTGATCTCGGGTCGCTTTGAGCTGTTCAACAAGTCTGACATGAAATTGAAGACCCCCTTCCTCGATTTCGTGCTCGTCGTCCCGCTCCGCCCCCGCGTCGTCCCTGACAAGTTGGCTTGTGGTGGACTGGGCACATTTGGTGCATTGTATCCGAGTGATTGCTGGAAGCCCTCCGCATCGTACGCATCGGACGGCGACTGTTGCTGAATCGGCGACTGATGCAGTTGCTGCGGATGCTGCTGCTGATCGTCAACGTAAAAGACAGTGTCGGGCGGCAGGCTGATAGGATCGGACAGGCGTTGGCTCACGATATTGCGTTGAGTGGGGAACATATCGTTCAGATTGGCGGTGTTGGCTCGCGATGGACGAGCTGGCGGGGGAGATGTGGCCATGGAGGCACTGCCGCTGGTGGCGGCGAAGGGATCACGGTCGACGCTCTTCGGTGCTGGGAGGCTATGCTTGCGACCAGGAGTTTTATAGACTGAGCTGCGGGCCCTTGCGTCGCTCTTGGACGCAGACGGAGGGGCAGGCGCTTGCCTGGAAGGAGTGTAGGGGTCCTGATACCTGGCCGCTGCCGCAGCTTGGGCCTCGTTGTCGGCAATGAAGTTGGCGTATTCCTGAGTGATCTGGCGACTCGCACGATGGTACTCGACAGAGATGGAGGCGGAGTGGCGACTGGACGACGACGGTTGGTACGGCCTCTGATTCACTGCTCCTTGGGAGGTCGACATGGACGAGGTCGAAGAGATACTGAGGGCAAAAGTTGAACGATTGTTTTCCTTTGACGACGGAGGACGTAAACAGCGGATTTGATGACAACAGCAATCAGAACAAGGTGGTGGGTGCGAAGTGGCTGTGAGCAAGATGGTTTTTATGAGCCGCTGCCGCTATCAACGTCCACGAGCCGACTGTATTAATGCTTGACGAGCACGTTCGTCGTTGCCCACGACCCCGCGCTCGACGATCGCAATGAGGACGGCTGCAAACTTCTGAAAACAATTCCAGTCGTAATCCCAAGCGCGACGCTTTCGACAACGGATGGCGGTAAAGTTTAGGCTTTCATCGATCTCTGTATTTACCCGAGTTGCCTTATGCAGCACACTTCGTCCCAGGCACTGCACCGCAGCAATTAAATTATGTCGCTCATAAGTAGCAGACACACATTTCCAGCTACTGTACTTCCATTAGGCGGCAAAATCTATCCCAGAGTGTCACGCCACATACATAGTATAACGTGAGACGGTGCGGTGCACAAACATACGGATGCAGACAGGCCGGCACCGTCAAGCTCGAAAAGCGCGTTTCAAGCATCCGCTTACAATTAATAAATGTACAGATAACTTATGCGATCGAGACGCAGTGATGTAGTAATGCCCAGCGGATCTTAGTGTCCTTGTCCGATCAAGAGACGGTCGCCAGTGTTCTAGTCCAATCGACAACTTTAGGATGAGCATTCACCTGTAATTATCGCATCGCATGAGGGCGAATATCATAAATAGAATCCACAATCCGAAAGTGGGACATTCAAGCGACTCACTCTCGCAGGGTCAAAATGAAGCACTTGTAAACCATCTAGGCAGGTCGCACGCGAAAGAGCAACATATGCTTGACCTACGGGCAAGATCATGCCGCACATTAGTGTATAGGTGTATAGACGATTTTAATCACATGTGATGTACCTTTCTCGAATACCTTCGCAAGATCAACTTTCACACGCTCTAACGTTTGGCCCTGCGATTTGTGGATAGACATGGCCCAAGCCAGAATGAGGGGAAGCTGTCACGACTTCGTGAATCACACACGCAGCCAACGAGGGACAGGATCAGGCGTACCTGTGTTCTGCTGACTTGGACCTCTCCATTCGGGAGCTCCACCTTCCAAGACTCAGGTTGAACAGTCACCCGACGCAAACCGCCACCAGGTTGGAGGAAATCTACCACAGGCCACATGACTCCTGAACTTTGCTTCTTCCCTGCTTTGCCGTTCTTCGAAGAAGGTTTGCCACCATAGGCAATATCATCTTCCTCAAGTGACGCTGAAGGATCGATGAACTTTACGATCTTGCCCATTGAACCGTTCACAAGCGTGTCATCTATGTTCTTGATCAACATAACCTACGACAGAGATATCAGGTGTTGATGCCATCTAGATGTCCGCGGACATACCTGGGCACCGATTTTCAGAGTAAGTGTCTTCGGTGCCATGAAGTTGTTGAGCATCTTCTCGCGCTGAGTTTCATCGGTGAGGGTACCCCCGTCCAATGCTGTAAATGAGCGTGTTTCTCCCTGAATAACCCTCATACGAGCTGTGTTAGATCGTTCAACATCTTCACGTAAGGGAAATCTAGTTCCTGCATCCATATCAGCACATACGGTCACCAATGGCAAAGTCCTACAGCTCAGTCGCTCCAAGTCCGTCTTCATACACGATGTCTCTAGCGAGGCTTCTAAACCTGGCGATAGATCCGGGGGTAAGTTTGCCGAAGCGCATTTCATTGAGCATGTCGACAAATTCTACAGTCACTTGTGAGTATTTTTTGCGAAATATTTGTCTTTGTTGCTGAGGCGCTGCTCACCCGGATCACGTTGACGAAATACTTGTGTGAGATTGAATGTCTTCTTGATAGTCTTTCTCCACATCTCCGCCTCAAAGGCGAAAGTCGCTTTCTGACCCTTTGTTACAGGAGGTAGCTGGAAGAAGTCACCGGTCACAACGACCTAAACGCATCGATATTTTCTTAGTAGCTACAGAGACATATGGAGCGAGGATACGTACCTGGATTCCACCGAATGGCTCTGGTCGTTTGCGCAAAATGGACCCAATGTGCGCGATTTTGTCGAATAATTCACCCTCCACCATTGATACTAGAAATTTCAGCAAACAGATCCAAAATGAGTACAAATTTACTGATGCATACTCTCATCTATGATGAGCACTTGCGTGCGTGCCCATCGAGCGCTCGCCTTCTTGTTCTTCCTCACTTTGTTGGCAAGCACCTCGGCGGATTCGAGTCCGAGTCCGATCCCGGAGAACGAGTGAATGGTCATGCCGCCGATATTGCATGCCGCAATGCCTGGCATCCACTTCATACAAACTGAAATACTTAAGAAGATTTACACGAACCTGTAGAAGCGGTCACAGCGACAGCATCAGGCGACCTAGAATGCTTCGCTCTCATAATCGCAATTATTTCGCGCAAGAGGACAGATTTTCCGGTTCCTTGTGATAAAAAGAGGAGTGAGCAAACTAGACGAATCGCTGGCAGAGACGTGATAGGTTGTGGAGCATCGCTTTCATGTCATGTAAATGAGTGAAACGAGTCTATCTTTTCTATTCTCATAGACCATCACATTACAACAATCATGTGGCGCATATAGCTACCCATCGGGACTAAACGAGTAGAAGGACACTCACCTGCACTTCCAGTATAAAAAATATTTTGTCCTTCCCTTACAAGCTGCAAGATATGTTGTTGTTCCTGGCTCAAAGAGATAGGCGCAGTTCTACCGGGCGCATTGTTGGTCAAAGTCTTGTTTACAACAGGAGTCCGCGTGCTCGACGAGCTGAAGTACGCTGAGCGCTGGATAGGTTCAGGATCGTTCCAGCTTGAAGGAAGTTGGCGACGCTTTGCAGGTGGGTCTTGTGAAGACGAAGGTCGCTTCTGCAGCATGGTGCTCCTAGAAGTCTGAGAAGACGCGAGTGCAATTTCAGACGAGACGAGGTTACCCTTGAGGGCTTCTTCAATATCCCTCAAGCGTTGCTCTGCACCGGAGAGCTTCGATTGTTTCGGAGGAGTAGGCGTCCAGGGAATAGCGTTTGGATCTGAGCTGCTTATCACTGAGTCCTGACTCGCCGAGGGGAGAAAACTAGAGAAGTCGCGTTTTATGGAACGCAACCCCGAGATAGACTGCTTGGGAGGTGGCGGCATAACGAAGTGAAGAAGATGATGCAATTAGTCGAGTTCAATATGACGCGATCTTGAACGTGATTGCGAGCCCAGCTTGAAGCCCAGGGAGTTGGATCGTCCAACAAAGGCGGTGGCCAACTTAATTCACTAATAGCTGGCGCTGAACTCGGAGTGCAGGTACGCGGTCACGGGATTATCACGTCTGCCTCCCGCGAGTCAAATCTCGATTCGGATCAACGCTTCGTGAACTTTTCGCAATGCTACCGCAGTATGACACTTGAACCAAAATTGAACGTTGTAATCCTACCGCGACAGACTCTGTGTTCCAGGAGTTCTGTAACTTCGATTATCAAGTGTCCATCATGCTAATTTAGTCAGCCTTCAGAAACCATCGTATTTATCCGTACATAAATCGGCAATTTACATTTGTATCCACTCCGAGTAGAGGTTTTACAACATTGAAGCTGGCAGTGTGAGGCTGAATTAGGACGAAATCAGAATATAATGAGGTACTAACTCACTGGGCATTTGATGGTGGTTTTCCTAACTGTCGTCCGAGCGTACCACGGGCTGTCCTTCACGAGTGACGCCGAGCTGTTGGCGGGCAACGATATGCTCTCCGCGAGTGATACCGAGTCGCTGACGGGTGACAGAGTAGAGTTAGCGGTCGGCAAGATGATCTTCACGGGCGACGCTGAGCTGCTGACGAGCAATGGGATGGTCTTCGCGGGTCACGTTAAGTTGCCGACGGGTAACAGGGTAGAGTTGACGATCCACGATATGCTCCTCACGGGCAACTCCAAGCTGTTGACGAGCGATGGGATGGTTCTCCAGAGTAACGCTGAACTACTGACGAGCGATAAGACCGTCTTCGCGAGCAACACCAAGCTGTTGACGAGTAACAGGATGGAGTTGGCGACCCACGAGATGGTCCTCGCGGGACATGCCGAGTTGCTGGCGGGCGGTCACAAGGGCCATGTCACCCTCAACGTTGGCAGCTGTACCAGCATTACTCAGTGAATGAATAGAAGTTCAGATATATATAAGTACGAACACGATCCGGATGCCGCGATTTGCGCAGGCAACGCTGACACTAGGAGAGTGACAAATGGGACAAGAACGACGATGGTTAGGCGCATCGTGAAGGGGTCTGAGCAACAAAAGGAGGCTGGACGAGCTAACAATACGAATATTGTCGATAGAATGTCTGGCTTGTTGGCCAGCTTTTATACTGCTGAGCGGTTCCTAAGAACAGTGAAGGTATGCGGACGGATCTGGCTACCGAAACTCACTGACCCTGACCCAGCTAGAATGGAATCACACTGACTTTGTACCTACTCTGCTGCATCATACGCGAATGTGGCGATCCAGAAAGCTACACAGTACTCATGTCTGCTTCCTCCAGTCAAAAGCGGCCTTCGACATGCCATCACGTCTTGCACCAACTCATTCAGTAGATTAACATGCTTGAGAGCTGAGGAAAACTTCGTCCCGAGACAAATTTTACCTGTATTGTATTGGAGTAAGTGAGCCGTGGCCAAGTATAAGTGAACACAAGGCTAATCCACTTATGGTCAGGTCGATTACGCAACTCTCTCTCGCGGAATATATTCAATCTAACTGTCTGATGCCGACGTTGCCTCCCGCAGGCCCTACAGTATCCTTTCCCCAAGTGACACGTCCACCACGTTCTGCTCAATAAAACTGTAAGTGCATTCCAACACATGATGTCAGCACTCAATTGAGCCCTACCCAGTACACCAAACATCACTTCCACAACGACGACGCTGCACCTCACTGCTTGAACCCGGTGTCGGACCGAGTCACATTCTCTGGGGCAATGCTTTGATCCTCCCCCGGGTTATCCATCATCTAAGGACCCATGGCGATGCGACTTTGTTGACCGATTTATTGGATCGGGACTTACCTCTCGTACAGCTACCTCCTTAGTATCTTAGAGTAATTTAATCCCTGTGACTATAATGTCTGCTATTCATGGCATCATCAGACGATTTGGTGATGAACAGGAATCCAACGACCGGTCATCCCACATATATACTCTGCATCAGTCTATGAACAAGTACAGGAGAGTAAGTCGCGGATAAGTCACGGTTAGAGACAGGAAATCACTATACTGGGCGAAAATCGACGACACCAAATCTTCAAATATACACAGACAATTTGAGGCTACTTGTCTTGGCCGTACTACTGAAGGTCTGATCTAGCTCTTGCTAATACGGCCGCGATAAGACCGGGGACATCATTCGCTTGTACATGCGCCCCGACTACGTCTCCGCAATCGTCCGCAAGTCCCTCTATCTGTGCGTCCGCGAGTTGCCGTGTGTTTGGCACGAATAGTAATATGATTCGTATTTGCATTGGCTGGACACTCGGGCTAGGCGACTTCGGTACCAAATATGTAAGACGTAGTTCATTTTCTGAGGCAGAATGAAACGACTGCAATGAATATAGCGCACGATGCAGTGCGAGGGACGCGGTTAGCCTGCCATAGGTGTGAGTAGGGTGTGGAAAGCGGAGATATGGAACGCACCAGTCATACAATCCTACCACTCTACCATCCTCGACCTCATCTTTCCCTGCCCTTGCAAGCTTCTCCACTTCGGCTCTTTCGGCTCGCAGACGCTCAACCTCACGGGCGCCTTCTTTGACCTTATCCTTCGCCTGGTCCACACTTTCGTTCAGACTCTGCAGCTCATCGTCAAACCTCTGCATCTCTGCTACTTGCATATCGAGCTGAGCATTAGCCGCAGGGATGGTGAGCCTTGGATGAGGATACGCCTGTCGGAGGCGAGTGAGTTGCAGACGAGCATCTAAGATTTTACTAGCGAGGGTTGCTGCCTCATTCGTCAATGTTCTCGCTTTGTTAAAATCTGCGCGAAGCATGTTGGTTATAGTCAATCGTCAAACATGGTTCCGCCCACCCTGTTCAACTAAAGGCGCGAGTTTCCGTATATCGCCATCCTTCTCGATCAATCGAGCCTTAGCAAGTTTGAGCGCTTCCTTCTTCTGCTCGTTGGCTAGCCGGAGCCTTTCATTGTCCTCTGCATTGATATTCGGTGCATCATCACTGACAATAGTCTTGATATACTGGTCCTTGGCCTTTTGCTCGAGATATTGAACCTTAAGTTTTCGCAAGAACGACTTCGGAAATGATATATCTATGAGCACTACATATGCTAACGTTAAGACGGAGACCGTTGTGCTCACAATTTGGGAGGCGACATGCACACCAGCAACCGCTGGATCAGTCAGCCCTTTCCGGCCTTCAAATATCTGCGTAAATTCACTTTCAGGATTATTTTGTTGTGAGTCAAACTGGTCTCGGCAATCAACAAGATGCAGTCGGGTGTTCTCTAGCGTTGACTGGAGCGACCGAGCAGCTTGGAGTTTGGTGCTATTTTCAGCCTCCAGAGACAGCATTGTGTCGAAATTAAAATGCAGGGCGAGTTAACAAGCGTCGCGAGCATAATATTATTCGAGTGGCAACACGTCGCCACGGTCACGTGTTAAACGCGGGGTCGTGCAGCCACTTTCTTCATCCAACCCGCTCACTATACATAGTACCATCGCACGTCCCGTAGGTCTCGCGAAGATGTGGTCTCACGAAAATTCTTCACTTCTGGTCTCACAAATTGTCACCAAATTCACACGAGGAAAACTAACAAGCTGAGTTGCTTTACACAGTTGACACTGAGTCACTAAATACTCGTGATCCGAGATTAATAATTCAGTGAGGAGCCTTTAGAGAATGAACGAAATCTTATATCGACTCAAGCGAAAGCCTCACACAGCATCACTACACGGTCCTCACATTTTTGGTAAGCGTCGATCAAGCCGGCATACACGGCGACGTTCGCATCCCGTGGTTCCGCCACACACTTCATGCGACCGCCCATTGGGTCCGTGGCGCGCATTTCTTCGAACGTTCCTACACCGCCATTCTGGGTGCGCCACCACGCATATCGTGCAAGCTGCGCACCACCCTCCGCCGCACCCTGCTGGCCAGCGATGAAGACACGCATACCAAACACATCCGCGGCAAGCTGACGAATGACTGGGTTCGCAGAAGATCCGCCACACACAACGAGGCGCTGCAGGGGTGGCGCGTCTGGAGGCAAGATCGCGGTAATGCGCGCTCGGATGGAGAGGAACTGCGACTCGAGGATCGCACGCGGGTGCGCCGCCGCGGGCATTGTATCCTCCAAGACAGATGCAACATCGGTGGCAGAGGGAGTGACATGGAACAGAAAGTTACCGTGGACATTAGGTGGAATAATCTCGGGAAGGGGGAAGTAGAATCCCAAGTATCCATCATTTCCGACGACAGTCTGCTCAACGAGCTCGTTGAATCTTGTCCAGTCCCCATTGGCGTATCGATCTCGCACCTGTTCACGTGCCAACGCGCCGTTTTTGTAGCAGAGCATGGCAATCTGCGCATCGAGCGTCGTAGGGTGAGAGAGCAGATGAGATGTAGTGAAACGTTTAGGGGGAGTGTCGGCAGGAGGGATGGAAAGGAGAAAAGTTGTAGAAGTACCGAGAGACAGAATGGCATCGCCAGGGGTAGAGAGCGCAACAACAGTCGCGGGATTATCACCTGTGAATGGTGCGATGAGGCAGTCTGGAGAAAGAAACAACACTCAGGACACCACCACACACAAATCATCAACGTCAACACATGCCTGGATTGAAACCCCATCGCTGAGTCCAGTAAGGGCTGATCCTGCCAAGCACGCTTCCTCCCGGTACCGGTTCGGGCCCAATTTTGGTTCGCAATTCGGGGCCTCCGCATGCATCTAATAGACACTCATCCCATTGGCACGTCAAGACATTCATCAGGCTCATGCCACTCGCATCCGATACCTCTATGGGTGCGATTGCTCCAAGAAAGACAGAAGGCATGAACGACGACACTAACGAGACGCGTGACGTAGCGTTATATGCCTCTGGACTGACGCGGCGGATCTACAAGCCAAGAGAACATCGTGTAAACCTCGGGATCATGATTGTATGCCACCGAGGTGTAAAATGTACCTTCGCAATCTGTGTGCCAGTGAATCGCTCGTAAGCGCGACTACCAGTTAGATCCGCGAGAGCTTGCGCTCCACCCACAGCGGCTTCGAGCTCGCGGCACTCACGCGTGGTGGAAGAATCCTGCCAGATGGGAGCATTTGGCAGTGAGAATGCACCCGGTGCGAGTTGGTCGAGGGGCTTAGAGGGGTCGAGAGTGGTAAGCATTTTCTCGGCATCCAGAGACCAGTATACAGATCCATGTTGCTGAAATTTCAGATATAGTCAGAACATCGATGAAGGAAGTCAATAGCTTCCTCACCTGTCCATCACCAGAAATAGCAAGTATACGACCGAAATCGACGCCAGCAGCTTTCATCCTCTCCAAGATGAGGTCGAAAGCTTCAAGCCACATATGAACTGGAGACGTAACCTCGCCTATTCCAGGTCCACGAATGGCCCCATTCGTGGTTCCATGGTGAGGGAGATCACGATCAAAGTGAACAGCAGACTCATGCGCAACGGAGCTATCCTCTGATATCAAGACGGCTTTGAGGCTTTGCGTCGACAAGTCGAAACCTAGGAAAAAAGGTGAAGAACTAGCGCCGTCCATGAATGTGGGCACCGCCGAGGTGGGTATAAGGACGTGGGGGACAGGGAAATGGAGGGGGAGGGGGAATGTGACCGAGAGCAATGGATTTATACGAGCGCATCGCACCCTGTCCCAGGGTTGGCAGGCCCTAGCCTGGGCACCGGGATGCGGGCTAGAGAAAACGGCGGGGATGGCGATCGTTCTGGCCCGGTGGGCTTCATGCGTGGACCCTGCGGGAAATTGTCGGTCAGCAATGGGACGGTCCGGGTCTCCGGGTTGGGACAAGTCAAGGTCCACGCACACGTGAATGTGACTGAACGCGCCGTCACGTGTCACCATTATTCGATCAGCGCTGTCTTCCTGAATCCTGAGACTCTTCACAATGACATGGATCTTCTGGGCCTACTATAGTAGTAAAATAACGAATCACAGATGTCAGCGACGACTTGGCCAGCGCTGAAGGCTGCATCCGACCGAGTTCGAAGTTTGAATCATAGGTCTTCGACACATCTGGGGACGAGACCAACAATACGCAACGAGTTGTGACGATGCACAGCTTGATGACGCTAGATCGGATTTGTTGCTGGAAGATAGCGGGCATCTGTTATGCAAATAAGCATGAGCAGTCCCAAGGTCAGCGCTAGCAGACTCTTATTATGTACTATTCCGACCTTTAACCAGGCAAAATGGCAGAGTGCGTCTTACCGAATGATATGCTTCTGCAAGACTGCAACGGCCCACGCGTTCACCCCTGGATGGACCGGTTCAACCTCTGATTGATATATCGGCCGCCATCATTGGTGTCAGAATGAAGGACGGCACGGCACAGCATAGCTTCCCGATGCCGAGTTGAGATTGGGTGGATAAAGTGCCGCGGTCGTCATAGAATCTCCTCTTAGCCAAGTACTAAGACATGGTTGAAAAGCAAGAGATTACTATCCGTCGAGCCGATGGGGCTTGGGGGCTTAAGGTGTAGAGGTGTTAATTCTGCAACGGTGATGCCAATTTTCGACAGGGCGCGCGCGTCGCCATCAACATCACATCATGTCACGGTTCTACCGATTCTGTGAAAACGTGACAGCGTCAACACAGGCCTGTAGTGGCGTGACGGGCTCTCTATACGCTTCTAAGTTTACTGTGAGCATGATCTAAGCGGATCGGCTATGCGAGCGCGATCAGTTACAAGTAGATTTGTTTCAGCCGGGCCATCAATCCAGCATTGCCACGCTCCGCACTATATAAGCCATCTCATGTGGGTTTCGACGCCCTTTAGTGAACGTGGACGTTCCCTTTTGCGACTTCTGTTTCTTTGGGTTTCCTGCCTTATTATCTTTTCGTTCTCTATCAGTTGTCGTCATGAACTCCTTTATCATTGTCATTATTGCATCGCTGTGCGGTCTTGCTCATGCCCTCTACCTTCCGACCGTTGCTGGTGATTCTCAAACTTCCCATGGACCTGGTGTCCGTAACCCCAGATTACATGTGGTTGGAATGCGTCATCAGCAAGATGATGTGGTTAACTTCCAGGATACTGTTGTATGTGCAATACACTTGTCGTTAGCCTGGGTTTGAACTTACGGACGGACGTTTTCAGTATGCGACGAACATGACGATTGGCGGCCATAGTGCGCACATCCATTTCTTGTACATGTAATATGCTCATTTGCCCATTTGCGTAGATGTCCTCATTCAACTTGACTCCGGATCTTCTGACCTTTGGGTCAACGTGTCATCTGGTCAGATAGAGTTCTCTAACGTGACCAACATCACAACTTCGCAGTCTTATGGCCTCGGTTCTGTTACCGGTCCTCTCACTTTTGCTAACGTCGCCATTGGTCCGCACTTCGTCCCTAATCAAGCTTTCATCAATGCTACGAATGTATGTGATTTGTTGTTGCATGATATTTTGCGGTTAATAGACTTGAATCAGACTACGAGTTTTGGCACAATCTTTGGCGATGGTGTCAGCGGTATTCTAGGTCTTGCTGCTGATGCAGGTTCTGCAGTAGACATAGCGGCCACGCAGAAGTTCGGCACTGGAACCACTCTCGGCCTTACCTTCATGTCAAACCTCTTCCTCCAGAATGCCGACATGCAGCACATGTTCACAGTGCAACTTGGCCGCAGTGATGATCCCGATTATACTGTTGAAGGTGACTTCACAATTGGCGAGTACTTGCCCGAGTACATCAGTGTTGCCAACCAGCCTCAGCTGCCGCGCTACCCGAATCCGGATGTTAATGACGCTGCTCCTCGCTGGTCCGCCATTATGAGCGGTATGACTGTCAACGGCCAGCCGTTCGCGTTCAATAAATCTGGCGTACCGGGGGTGCCTGAAGGCTCAATTGTTACGGTCTTCGATACTGGCTTCTCCTTCCCACCTCTGCCTACGGCTGCTGTGAACTTCATCTATAGCAGTATCCCGGGTGCAACGTACGACAATTCTACCGGCCTCTGGCTTGTTCCTTGCGAGAGCTCTACTCGGCTTGAGTTCCAGTTCGGGTGTGTTTTGTAATTGCCATCATGTGCTGGGATACTAAGTAACTGGTCCTTATAGTAACATGTCTGTGCCCATCCACCCGCTCGATATTACTACTGTGACGCAGTTGAACAATAAGACTGTTTGCGTAAACACTTACCGGTAAGATTGTTTTGTCTGTTCGTTGTCTATTGACTGATGTTTGTTTCGTAGTCCGTCCACGCTTCCGGTAAACGACCAGTTTGACGCTATTCTTGGTGACGCCTTCCTCAAGAATGTATACGCATCGTAAGTAGTTTAGATCATACTCGATGTAGCTTGTCCTTACATTCATGATAAAATAGGTTTAACTACGGAGCTTGGTCTGCGCAGAATCCCGAAGCCATTCCTTACATCCAGCTACTTCCTACGACCAACTTGACCACCGCCTTTGCCGAGTTCTCGCAGGTCCGTTCACAGATGGTTGCTTCTGCCGAGGCCTCAGCATCCATGACGGCAACCCCAGCGGCCACTACATCAACTCCCGCTGTTGCTGCTGCCCCCACTTCCAACCCCATGTTCGCCTCTGCGTGGTCGAGTTCCCCTGCAACGTCCGAATTACCGGTCAATGCTCCCCCTACTCCTCAAGGCTTCGCGACAGCAGCTGCTCCCCCATATTTCCCTTCACCCCCAACTGTCTCGCCAGGGTCACATATGGCAGGCTCGGGCATCCAGCCAGGTCAATTCCCAAGTAACAGTGAACCTGCCCTCCAGCCACCTCCTGGGGGTTCTGGCCAGCAAGCGATGATTGCTCCGGCGACGAACGGCAAGTCTGCACCTGTCCCGCTGCATCGCCGCGCAACCCGCATGGTCGTTGAGTGCGTCGGCCCCGTGGTTGAGCAGTACGGCGCGATGTTCTTCGCGGTTCTCTGCGGCTCGCTCATAGTCTCGCTCATCCTTTGCATTGTTACCGTTATGTTGGCCATCCGCAATCATCGCCGGATAGCGAAGCAGCGGAGTTCCGCATACTCTGTCCTCGAGGCGAAAGCACGCTCAGAAGCGGATCCTGAAGCGGATGTTCTGTCCGCCTCCTATTACTACTATCATGACGACTGTTGATTTACGATTTTACAAGGGCGCTGGATGTTCTGATGATTAATCATAATACACTGTCTTTTCTGTGATCATCAGGTGTTTTGCTTGTTTTGCATACATAGTATGCCACACGATACTCAGCACCGGTGAGTGAACAATTGGGAGTATTGTATTTTCATTTGCGCTGTACTGGACAAAAAACACATGATACCCAGGGAAACATCGACGTGGATAAATATCTGTACGACTGACCACGACAATCATGACTAAACTCGAGGACAGCGAACATAAAAAGAATCACAAAACACAAAGCTAGTGGATTCTACGTGAAATCACGAGGCCATACGTATATCCCTCCCAAATCTTCTCTTTGTCTCTGCTTCCCGGGCACGCATGCGCTGTTTTCGCAGGTTCGACATCATGTCCTTCGCAACTGGTGACAACTCGGACGACGACGCAGGCGAAGGGACGTTTGTATCGCCAACCTGGCCTGAAATTTTCGGATAGCGTATGTCAAAGATCGTCCGGCTTCGTGGTGGCGTTGCAGGATTCGGTATCACGCTCGTCGAATTGCTATTAAACTTGGAGTCCTGCGGGTTCGCTTTAGGAGAGATCTCGACGCCGTTCTCCTTGTCTTCACCACCTCGTCGAGCAGGCTTGACGCTTGACTTCGCAGTACGAGGAACCTTTTGGGTGGCTGTGGCCCCATGTATGGCACTGTCTTCTACGTGATCGGACAAAGGCAGAGCAGGGTTGTGAGGCACTGGCTTTGTTGCAAGAGCACTCGTTGTCCCAAAACCCAGTGATGACCGGGACGTAGTAACGTCGCGCGCAACTGGAGTAGATATATACGTTCGCAGGTCCGAGGGAAGGTCTGTCTGAGAAGGGTTCGAAGATCTTGTGCATCGCGGTCGGGGACCACGGGGTATCTTTGATCTTGAGGCTTGTGCGGTCGTAATGGCATGAGAAATAGTGCATACTTCTTTGTCTCTAGGCGCCGAGATAGTGGACTTTGTAGTTTGGCGTGTCAGGCCTTTATGCATCGTGGAGGAAGGGCGAGGTGAAATGTTCAGTTCATGACCTTCGGTGCCATCTGCTGACAGGAGGAGAGGATGACCATTGTTGGTCAGAGTAGCGGAGACGCTGGATAATTTCATGAGGGTCGCAGTGCGAACTTCGGCATGTGAGATGTGTGACGGCCCCTGGAAGTAAGAATCGTCGATAGATGTAGGTAGAGCAATAGATGGCCCCGCCAGACGGGAAGGATCGTGCCCTTCAGTTGCTCTAGTGAGTAAGTGGACAGGAAGACTACTCTTGCCATCTGTAACACGCAAGGATCGTCGACGATCTGTAAGAAAACCAAATACTTCTGCGGCACGCTGTGGCGTCTTGGGGTCGATTGCCAAAGTATCCGCTAATGGTTCAACAATCGAGACAGCCCCGCTCGTCTCATTGATTGCGCTGTATTCAACTTCCATAGATGATATCAACGGATAGGGAGCAGACATAGACAAATCGTGAGACTGATGGAACGAGGATCCATATGTCGTGAGCCCCTGCGGCTCAGGAGGCGATAAGTCGTGTGAGAATGAGACATCGGCATCGTCAGGCGTGTCCAGTGGAAGAGATGAGGTAGACGAAGCTGCTGAATTTGTTTCACTGTTGCAGCCAAGGTGAGTCAAGGAGCCAGTAATACTAAAGTAACATACCCAAGGAATCTCTCCGCCCAGGAAATGTCACCTTCCGTAGCATTGCCCTGCGAATCAGGGTTACCAAGAAGTTGACGCAAGGTCGAACCGGAACGCTTGACTTGTGCTCGCCCTTCTTCGGCATCCAAGACCGGCGCTGGCGTGGGAGGCGTATTGGAAAAGGCGTTCGCGTCTAGACGACCTTTGTCATCGTACATGTTCAACAAGCTTGCTACGGATGGGTCCCGGCGCAATGCGTGCAAGCGACTCTCATCACGAGGTGTAAATAAGATGTCCTTCAGAGGGCGATGGCTGCCCCCAGGTGTGCGAGGATCATCCAGCTCGTGATCATGATTGGAGAGGCGAGGGTTGGCATTAGGAAACTCGGTTCGTGAGTGTAGGGTGCGACTATGTACTCTCACTATGTACGTGTTGTTTCGCGACATACTGTGTATAGATTGCGATGACGACGCTTTAGGCGTGATAGCCAACTGGGCTATGGAATGTGCATGCAGTCAGCAAGGCACTTGCAGCACATAATCATAGGAAAACATACGAAGAGGAGGTGGTAAGTCATTTGTATCCGTCGCTACTGCAAATCGCGCAGAGACAGACCGTAAGAGACGATTTGCATCGTTATCTACATCATGGTCCTCCTTTACAATTCGGCCTTCGGCATCAACTTGCCTTGGGACAGCCTGTGAGATACCAGATTTGTCTTTTTGTTTGTTCTTCTTCGACTTCCTACTACCTAGAGAGAGAAACTTCTTGAAGAATCCCATTGCTGCGTGCCAGAGTCGTGCGGGGGGGCGCGAGGGTATCTTGCAGCGACTACAAGGTTGATATTTGAACTTGAACTTGCGCCCGTCAAGTTGGTTCTTGGCAACGCGACGCGATCACGTGGAGATCATTTCTGTACTCGGAGAGTCGAATTGCGCCAGCAGGCGCTGGCGCTACTTGCTGTAAACCTCGCGCGGAGTCGAGAAGTTGTACATGTATCGTAGATATTTACATACAAGTTCGAACTTTTTCTGACTTGTTGTTGTCTTCATATAACGCAGCCACTGACTTTAAACTTGAAGATCATAAGTGAAAGCTGCACCCCATTGTACATCTGAAACACTGTACAGTGTGTGATCCTGATGAAATGAGATGCATGTTACTTTGTTCACTGGTTCTCCTAAGGCTTCATTCATGCAAGTAGACCAACAAGTTGGCACAGGATCTGGTTGGTATGTTCTCTGTTAACCCCATGGGAAATACTGAGATGGAGAACTCGATGAAGATAAAGGAGACTGCACAGTATCTCCTTTGGAATATAGATATGAGTAGTACTACAAAGATGGAATGCATCGAGCACATGAGCTTAGGCAGTTACTTCTAGTTGTCTGATGTATTGGTGGCAAACATATCAAACGGTATTGTGTCCCCGTGATAAGGCATAATTTGGAGATATATGTAAATCCGAGTCATCGTCAAGTATTCAAATGCAAAAGACACGGTGTGGAGTCTTGGAGATGCCACAAGGCAGATTGCAGAGATTACACGCATATACCATATCTGGTGATCGGAGGCGTGCGCTCTGCGATCACGTGATGTGAGATGCCAAACTGAGATATTGCGCCATTAGCACGACTGGAGACAAGTGTCTGACAGGCGCAGCGAATACCAGCAGGCTGCAGCATGAGTCTCCTTCTCGCACTCCGTATGGATTTCATTTGAACTATCCCGTTTCTTCGAAGCATATTGACAATACCTAACGCCATGAGCAGTGTCGGCGCTGTAGGCGATTTCCGAATATGGCCCGGACGAAATCGGCGTTATAACCACGTTCGTCACCAGCCTAGTCATCATCGGTGCCCACAGGGCGCACTTTCCCTCTTCATTTGCCTCAAAACTTCACGAAAATTCACGACCCGCTCTTTCTAACGTCGCAAGGAGTATATTTGCTGCAGCATCCAGACTAGTCGCGGGGCCCGTATAAAGGAGCAGATTGATCTCCCATCCTGAGCGATTCGACTGTAAGTACTTGTCTTGAGGCATTGCTCTTCCTACTGATGTCTGCATAATGCAGACTTTACTGTATCCATAGCACACATCACATTGCTATCTCTATTGCTCTTTGACGATATTCGTCATGCCGGCATTCGTCGAGAACTCCGGAAGTACAAGCCGTGACTATCTTATGCTCGAGCGCAATCTCCTCTCCCATGTGAAGCTCGCTATGCTCCTCTCGCTGCTTTCTTCTTCCGTGATTCTCAAAGCTCGTCTATCCAACGATCCCGATGCTACAGTGGGAGATCCGACTCAGATTCAGGTGCCCATTGCGTCTATAGAGTTCGGTGCCGCGCTCTGCGCGATAGGTGCAGGAGTCTTCCAATACTATTCCTATTCGAAAGATATTCGGGATATGCGTGGATTCCTCGTGTCATCCAAGTTCGTGCTCCCTCATCAGTTTGTCTTGCTCGTATCTCACCCGTGACATCGGATCTAGGACACATTTTGCTATAATGGTCGTTGTTGCTGCCACTGTATTTACGACATGTGTCGTGCTGCTAGCGGAGGAATGATCATGGACTTTTCACCGCTCTTTGCCCGGTTGTCTGCGATCAGCTAGATTAAGAGGCGCCTACTGCGTGCATCCACGGTGCGGTCAGTGCGAGACGCCCTAGAGTCAGAACTGGCTGTGTGGCCATCTATCATGCATCTCTCGACTTGATCAGACAGAACTGCCAGCCTGCCAACCTGCTGAGTCACTGTACACTGCTCATCTCGCCTCTCACGCCCTCGTAACACAGCCGGGTGACATGCATTGTCTGCGCGGCTAGTCTCCACCAGCTCTATGCACCTCCCGTCATGGTCTCCGTCCACGCCCCCTCTTACATACCTCCACTCGCTTTTGAATCATTCTCGCTCAGCGAACCTGAAAAACAAGTGACTCAGCTGAACCTGAGCTCCGCAGGCTGTGATCTGCCATATGCGTATTCGCCACTACCAGCAAGAATACGTGGGCCCCGCCATCGACAGAGACGTGGTCAAAGTTCACAGCAGTTGTCTGATGGCTACTATGTTCATTATTCCTCTGGCACGGGCGACCCACAGCGCTCACTGCAGAGGAAGTCGACTATCCCTCATAAACCCAAGGGCGTGAACCCGCTGCCTTCGCGCGCGCGCGGCGCTTCTTTGCGCGATGCCCCGAACCGATTTACGTCCGCTGTGGCTATCCCTCCCTTACTTCCTTTTAGATCGCAACCTCAAGCCGCTAGTATTTGCGCCCTGGTGGACGAACGGAAAGTGTCAGAAGTCGCTCAAGAGGATCGCCATGCAGAGATGTCACACGACGCTGCACTGCAAAGCTTAGGCAATGCCATGGGGACGAACAGGGCGCGGGTTGCACCTGGGCAGACACCGCAGAACCTGAGTACGGAGAAACCAGAGTCGGTTCGTGCTTTAAACACTGCTGCACAAATGGTCTCATACAAATGCACATCCGCACCTGCGAGTGGCTCGACGAGCCTTCCTGGACCCACGATGCTGCAGAGAGCGATGATGTTCGCCCCCGGGCCTGGACACGTTGTGTATGACGACGCGTGGCTGGGTGCCGTCAGTGCTGCCTCATCACGCCCAACATCCGCATTACCGGGCGAGACGATCGACCAACTAGAAACGCTCGCAGAAGAGCTGCGGACAATGCATCCGGCTGTACTCGAACAGTTCCGTCCCCGCGCCCCAGCACCGCGCCACGGTCCACGTCCGTGCACGCCACAGAGTGTTCCGACTACCCCAAATCCTCGGGGACTAGTATCATCCACATCCCGCCCGTCTACCAGTGCAGGCACTTCGGGAACTCTTGATGCTGCACCGGAGGGTGATGGGATGATTGGGTTCGGCGACGATGAACGCGCAGCGGACATTGAGTCTCGTGCTCCTGCGAAAGAAAAGTGGAAAGCGACGTGGATCCCGGACTCAGATGATGAAGACGAAGCGGTGAGTGCTCGTCCGAGCCATGCTAACTTCCCTCCAATTCTGAATTTACGTGCATTACAGTTGATTGACGTCGTCCGCAGAATCAATTCTGCCCCACGATCGAGCAGTCCAGTGATTGAGCTCGACGGCGAACAAGCTTACAACGCCAAGGTAACTGCTTCCAGATTATCTTATATCATGATTCTGACTCCATCCACAGGATGCTCCTGAGTTCTTAGTGGGGGCTTCCACGTCGTCCACTGTGTATCCAACATCCGGCTTCCGCAGCGGTTCTCGTCATATACACCCCTCAACCTCACGCAAAGCTCGTTCCCGTAGTCGTCCTCGCAAACCCGCTGCTTTAGTTTTAGCCTTGGGGTCGCAGCCCGACCCCGACGCGCTCGGTAATTATCAAGATTATCTAACAGCACAATCTGGTCATCCAAGTAGCACGACCCCACAACGTTCTGTACCCTCGACCCCACATCATTTGGCTACCCAGATGGATCTGCGAGGCCTGGAGCTACTCATAGGACCCATCGAGCTGAGGCCTAAACCCAAGCCGAAATCGATGACCAGGTTACCTTCTTCTATAAACCTCCATGGGCACTCCACGGGGAATACGTCGAGTCGGAACATACATTCCCCGAATAAGGCGGAAACGTCCCAGGGTACAACTTCGCCTATCCGTCGCAATGCTGCTGCTCCTCGTTCCAGGCGCAGACTTGGCTCTTTTTGGTCATTACGACGATGGTTTGGACGATGGATTCGGTAAACAATTATACGAAGTAAGTTATATGTTATGGCTGTAGCGATACGGAATTCTTGGATACTCTTATATACCCTGTACATCATTACTTTGCAGACCCAATGTCTTGTCATGTTGTCAACACTATTGCCATACATTCTGTAAAAAGCTACCACAATCGACTAACCATGTTGAATCATGTTGAATACATTGGTATTACGGTGGTTATATTCTCTAAGTTATGGTCAAGATATGCGGATACAACAAACAGCGGTGACGGATGCACATGACAGTATAACGTACGTACACCAGCCTCAATCAGCTATAAACAACTATGCGCAGTAGCCAAATGAGAGCGTCCCGACAACAGTAGAATACGAAACGAGAGGCAACTCATCGATGTGAAGTGGACTCCTCAATGGTTTGAGGTTCCGTTAGCTTCGCCATTCAAATCATCTGGAGGTGATGGAACAGCTGACGGAGGCCGCCTCATGCACAAAGTAGACCTATCAAAGTCCATGGGACTATCTAGCGTCATGGATCCCACCAACTTGACCAAGCTTGCGTCCGCCCCATCCTGCCCGTGTTCGTCTTGTGTCTCGACTGAACCCGTCTTGACCCCCCGATCACCCGCTCCATTCGACACCCCAGTGCGACTGCTAGCCTTGGGGTTGAACAACTCAGCATTGCTCTTGGGCGGCGGCCGCTCGAATCCAGACTCCTGGTCATCTGTCCGAGGAATAGAGTTCTGAGATGTTTGATTTGAGTTGGGATAATGTACTAGCGCCGAACCATGCTGAGTGGAACTACTCTGCGACCCCGGCGTCATGATAGATCGCATGGATGAGGCGTTTGTCCATGCACCGCCAACTGGTGGGCGTCGTTCGGGGCCAGACGACAGCGGTGGGAAGTCATTTGACTGCAACTCGGGCTGGGACTGATATGCTTGAGCTAGATGCAGCTGCCCACCAATTCGTGCCGGCGACATGTTCCTTGAATGTGCGTTATTGTGATCATGATTTCGTGGTGGATGGAGGCCTGGTTGGGCCTTCAATCCAACTGCCCAATCTGGTCGAGGAGGCAGCGGATGCTTCGACGATGCGGACGTGTACGTTTGCCGAGACGATGACGATGTGGAAGAAGACTGTGAGATAGATTGAAATGTGGAAACGCAGAGCAGACGCAAAGAAAAGCGCCGATCGCATGCAACGAAGTCATCGGTCAACATGACACGAACGAGACCAGCAAATGTATAAATCAAGAAGAAAGTAACTCACCGCAGTAGAAGATGCCTCGTCGCCGGGGGTTCGCGTTCCTGCACTCCCACTGGTGCTAGATGCTCCCGAAATTCTTCTGAAATTCGAACTGAGTCTTGGGCCTACTGTGTCGCCGGGACCTATACTCCCTCCAATGCCGCTGGTGTTGAATGTAAATCCATTGTTAGCGGTACCAGGGCCATAACTCCATGATCCACGAGCCCGGGGAGCGCCACGCTTATTGCCACCATGATGACTGTTACTGCTCCGCGACGATGCACGACTATGGTTGTTGCTCCCAGTCCCGCTTCCACCGCCGTGAATGAATCCATTGTTGGTAATTGTGTCCGGCATGTACAATGATTGATCTGAGGGCGGTCCTGAGGGGAGTCCGTACTGGTTGTTGGGCGGGAAAGGGGGTGGGGGAGGCGGATGCGGATGCGGGGGATAGCCTTGCATAGTGTAAGGATTGTATTGTGGATGAGGCATGTAAGGTGGATATGCAGGTTGAATGACGTTTTGAGGCGGGGGCGGCGATGATGGATGAGATGTATGGGGGAGATTAAGGCCAGTGTTCAACGGACTCTGAGGCTGAACAGGAGGCTGAGGTACGGACTGGTTTGCTGGCGGGTGTGGCCACATATAGGACATATATGGCAGCTGTGGTGGTGTTGTCTGCTGGGGGAGAGAATACATCGATTCAGTAGGCATATGACTAGATGCGTCGGGCATATGAGGACCACTGTAACCTCCGTACGGGAGGTAATATGGGTATCCATATGATGAACCTGATGGCTGGCCAGCATACGGGGGGTAGTAGTAGGGAGTGAAGTAGCCAGCGGGAGGAGGGTGGTTACCATATTCGCCCACAGCAGGTGGCTCATACAGAGATGCATAGGTGAAGGATGGTGAAGTTGTTCTGGAGTCCCTTGAGCTACCAGAGCCGTTGTTGTATGATGTGTTCGAGGACCTGAGCGACTGAGTAGACGATCCCCCAGATCCACCAATGCGAGAATCCCTCTTGTCACGAGTAGCTGGACCAGACCATTCACTTTCTGTGGCGAGCGAGCTAGCAGAATCGTCCAAATCGCCAATACTATTACTACGGCCTCCGCCGGTGGAACCAGTGCCGGAAAATAGACTCAGTGTCGATGAATTAGCGCTCGCGTCCTTCTCCTTTTCCTTTTCTTCAAACTTCATAAAAATACGGTTTCGTGCCTCGTTATAGGCGGCTTCGCGTTCCTCCAGGGTCCGATGCTTCTTCGTGCTGCCTCCTGTAATGTTACTACGGCCACCAATACTACCCGCTTCTGACGGCTCGACATCTGATAAATCGGCCTCTTCGCCCGCGATTGAGCCTGCCTGAGAGTTTTGTCGGCTCTTTGTACCGTCCTGAGTGCCTCTTTGCATAATTCTGAATGCAGGCTGTGTAGGATGTTCTACTGGAACAAGTTCAATCATTCTTTGGGCAGGACTAGACGGACACTGTGAATCCTGGGGAATTTGTTCCAGAGAGAGAAAACCTCACATTTTGCTCTCGGGTCGCCAATGCACCGCGATGCTTTTAGTTGCGTTATCGGGCTCAGGGAAGAGGTTGTAGTAAGCAGAACACCTGTGAACTAGCAGCCGCTGGTACGAAGTTGCCGGTGTTAAATCCATTCGGGCCCTGGACGACACGTAGAACATCAGAAAACACTCGAAAAAAAAGGCCAGGTATTCTCTTAGCAAGACGACATCCGCAAATGTTTCAAGTATGCAATTGGCGGCCTTCGATACCATATGAATGTTACGCGGCAACTTACCTGCGATCTTGGATGAGACTTTCCATCTGCTCACCCAGCTTCAGTACAAATAAGCGATCCTTTCCTCGCAGCGCTTCCAATATCCGTGGATCGAGCTCCCCTGGGCTGTCCGGGCTTCCTGACGAGAGCTCAGAAGCACTTGGAGAACGTGTCAACGCGGAAGTATTTGATGAAATGTTGCGGGGAGAGGACATTATGAAGGCGTCCAATGAAGGGGATGGAAGAATAGAGCTGGAAGAAAGTGGATGCTTTGAAGGGATGTCCGGGGCACTTGTGCTGGTGCTCGTTGGTGCAGCCGAAGTTATGGTCGCAGTCGCCATGGGCGCAGGCGGTAATGACGGTAATGAAGGAGAGACTGCAAGCAGCACAGACGACTGCAAACCTAATTCAAGCTTCGCCGGCGATTCTAGATAATTGGGACAATGTGAAGTTGCGCAGCCTCAGCGTGCAGTCAAGACCAGGAGGGGGCTGAACCCGCTTAGCGCTTGCAGCACGCCCTCCGGAGAAGGTAACAAGTCAATTACGCACCGACAGTCATCCAATATGGGCTGTGGAACTACTGCGGTGATGATAAGCAACAAAAGTTGACCGTTTGGAGGAAGACGAAGGGAGAGCACATCAGGTCTGAGGGTAAGTAGGAGCAAGTGTTATGGCGCTTGGCGAGGGCGTTAGCGCCGTCGCCCTTTGTCACGGGAGTGTGTTCCCTCATAGCCACACTCGGTCGGTTTCTGTGGCACCATAACTAGTTCTATTGATGCTGCTCGCTCGCAATAAATGTCATGATTTAGGAGGCAAGATATAGTGCACACTATTTATCTGAATCTACTCTATTATACAGTACGCTGAGTTGGGCGGACAACTTGATAGACGTTGAAGCTTAGGCTACATTCACCAGCTCCATCAGCGCGGTGTCACTATAGAATGACAGCGACTCTCACCAGAAAATGAAGACGAAGATACCGTATAGCGCTAGTCCGAGGGATGCCTTCGACAGTGTCCGATTTGTGCTGGGGTCATTGCGTGACAACTGAACACCTTCAGTCAACACGGATCCACACCAAAACCAAAAGCGGGTCACACTAACCTTCCAGTAGAACAAGCCCGGTAAGATAAAGGAGATTGTGGTCGATCCAGTCGAGCCGACAAACGACAGAACTGATATCATTGTACGTAATATCCCATGTTAGCCACATTACAATATGCATCGAAACTAAATACTATGGGAAACGCACCCATCTGTAGGTCGTCGACAAAGTACGCAATGCTGAACCCACCAACGACGACGGCAATCGTAAGGAGTGCATGTTTGAGGGTGCTCATTTCATGGCCACTGCCGTGATCGTCTTCAATCATTTCGTCTTCGCTATCGGTAGCTTGTTTCGCAATATGGCCAAATGAGAATACCTTGTCTAGACAGTTGCGACATGGATGCACCTGGAGGGGATACGAGAACATAACCAAAATAGCGATAGCCAATTGTCCAACAGCAATGAAGAGCGACGTGGATGGGTACATCGCGATAATGTTGGCACCAACCTGTACGGACAGATGAGTTGTGGACTCCATACGTTCATGAGTTAGATGTCCCTCACTTTTGAACCGAAAGTGAGATATCCGAAAACACCTATAATCTCGTATATAATTGCTGCCGATCCGATCGAGGTTCCAATGACGAGATTCATCCGTGCTTGGGAATTAGAAGATATCTCGTTGAATATTGGGAATATCTAAAGAATAATCAGCTTGAGGACGACATCATTTCAAAGAGAATGCATTACGTTCTGTGCGCATGTGAATGCGAAGACTTGCACCGGAAAAGTGGAGACAAAACTAGGTGTGAAATGAATCAGGTGGATATCTCCGGGGGCCTGGGTGTCGCTGATTGGAGAAAAGTAGCAGACAACTACCACTACCAGTAGGTATGCTGAACCATTGAACCATTAGCAAAACGGCAGGTCAAAATTGGACAAAAGAGGTATTCACCGACAGAAAATAAAGCCACATAACTCGTGTGCCTGAGACTGTCTATCTTGCGAAGGAATGACAAGGGAAACAAGATTGCTCCAATGACTGTAATCCAAATACGTCCTGACTGTGCCCAGACAGGGGGGACTGTAGAAGCGAGGTCATGGTATAAAGCAGCAACAACGTTGGGCATAAGGGACTTGATGATGATCAAGTAGCTTTGTAAGTGGTTGATGTATGGATACATCAGGGGTACATCCAATAAGCTCAGACTACACACATACAACTTACCTGATGGATACGCCAAAACACTTGATAGCAATGGCAGCGTCAAAGAAAACCGCGGCGCGAGGGAATGTCAGTTCTGAAACAGCGAAGAATGAAGCTCTACGATGTGGCGCCTTGACCGCGCACAACGACAGCAGGTAAAGACCGAAGGCGGCTGCGCTTCCAGAAAACATACATGTGATGATGCCTGGAACTATGCCCGCGGACGCCATCGCCTGTACAGATGATGAAAAAGGTGACTTGTCAGACGAGTAATAATCAGTTGCAAGGGATACGAACCAGAGGGAAAGTAAGCATCCCTGAGAGAATCAATTATAACGACGATCGTCACTGAACACAACGGAAGGCAACTCACCGCTTCCGATGATGGTATTCGCTAGATTTCCCACAGAGCTTACTATACTTGCATGCCCATCCCTCTTCGGACGACTTGTGCTCGCCTCTGCACCTAGCAATGCATCGCTCTCTCCGGTATCAAGGCCTACATTCTCACGTTCGTTGGTGGGGGCTACACCATATGTCTGCACCATCTCGTATTCGTCTTCCGCAGAATCCACTCTCTGACGGTGCGAGACAAAGAATCGTGAAGGAGAAGGGGAGCGGGATATGGTGGAGGGAAGAGCGCGTGCTAGCGCGCGTGCTCGGATGCCGGACTCGGAAGCCAGATTAGACTCACCAACCCCAGGAGGTACAGCGCACGTGTGGAGCCGCCGATCGGAAATTGTTTGTCTCTATTAAGTCTGGAGGCTGCTAGACAACAGGCACAAACAACCGTCCGAGATTCCGAACCTGAACCATGAGCGGGCCACGGCTGCGACACAGACCACAAGTGGAGGAGGAGGATGCGTCAGTGTTGAAACTTGGAGCAGGTACATGCATTACTATTGTAATATTCACCTCTTATACATTTTATATCAGAATTCAACAATGCGGGCTGTCTTCTGATTTCTGAAGTCAAATACCTGCTCGAGAACAGAGACAAGGACGCGCCGGATACGGCGTAGGTCATGAAGTCATTCGTGGAGGTTGGTTCTTACACGTCTGATAGTGTATACAACAAGACGCTAGAGTATGTGAAAACGTTTGCGAAGTTCAATACTACAGACTCCGCAAGCGCCGTTCGAGAGTAAGTTACTACTCTTCTCCTTTATCTGCTGCTTATCCTTCTTCTAAGGACACTCCGGAGAGAACCCGCACTAACACAATTTGAGACGGCACAAATTGCTAATTTGTGCCCAGCGAATGCAGAGGAGGCGAAGAGTGTTGTTCCTAGGTATATGGTTACATCATCATCACACGACTACGTGATTGCTTATGGCAATCAAAGTCTGGTGAAAATTGACGACGACAGATTGCAAACGCTACTTCAGGAGATTCAAACCATGCGTAAATTCCAAACGTAGTATATTCTAGCCAGGGGTCCTTTGCCAATGGCCTGCTTCACTATGCCTGTCATCCTGCCTTTACCACATCTAGGACAATATTTTATGTTGTCAGCGGTGGGAGCGCTTACTTAACGTCTGAGGCAATATGGAGATAGCTGGACAATTATACATAGGCGGATGTGGCTGGTGCTGAGTGATTGACACACGATGGCAGATGTAGCACTACAGATAGCAGTGTAGTATTGTTATATGCCCCTCTAATAGACAAGCAATCTATGTCGATGGGTTGGCCCGCTCTGGTGTAGTCAGTGAACGATCACAATGGCCGTCTACACCTAAGGCCATAGATTATCCCTCCATATCATTCAGCTTTGCTTTGTCTAAACTCTCTTCTTCCTCTTCCTCTTCCTCTTCCGGAAAAGAATTTGCTTCTGTGCAGCTGGCAGTAGAGAAAGTTGTGGTGTCAAACCGTTTCCTCTCCCTAAATGGATTGCTTCTTCGTTCACCTTTCCTGATGACTGCTGCAGTCGGGATGATTCCCTTGGAATTTAAGTAGAGAAGGTCATTGCCTGAGTATGAATCGACAGAACGCATCCATCCGTCAAATCTATGCGTACAGATTCAGAACGTGTCTTGAATAGGGAAGCATAAGCAATTACGTACACGGCTTCCTGGTCTTCAATAGACCGCATCCGCGAATAAATGTGCTCTTGCTTAAATTGTTCGATGACATCCCGGTGAAGTTCAAAGTCAATTGCCGGTCGATAGTCTGGATCAGATGGCTGTAATTTCTCGTTGACGTTCGCGATCTTCCTCGTGTATGTATCAAATATAGGATATTCAAGGAGTAAGCCAAGGGCCGGCATTTTGGGGATAAAAACCATTCGAGGACCATATAGCTGTTAGTATGGTATAGTATGAGATTTTTGGTCCAACGGCATATAAATGTTGATATATACCTCTTCAATGATTTGAGGTGGCGACCCAGTGCGACACGTGAGAACGAGGGCAGACATCATTTTCCGCTGATGTTGACGTTGTTCAAAGCACGGATCGTGAAATCGGACAGAACACTCACAATCTAGGATGAGTATAATTAACATTGACCCGAAATAACATAGCACTGTATTACCTGATGCAGCATGAAGCTCTGCCCGTGAAACAATACGCTAATCCATTCAGTTTCTCCATACACTACCGGATCCGCGATCTATCTATATGTCAACAGACGGCATTCATTGCCACCGCACAGCACGCACAGTTATGCTTTTGATGTGCCGAACACAGCTACGGTCTCCAAAATCACGACCAATAGTAAAATTGTGGAAGTTATGACTGCCATTGAATGCCTGCGCGATAAGGCGCAGGGCTTCAACTTGTTTCGAATTGATTCGATATGTTCGCTTTCGACGAAGATCGTCTAATATTGATTCAGGATGATCGTCCGACCAGAACGGGTCGGGTTGTGTGTCCGTTCCATGATCCTGTAAAGTGTGATGAAGGCCGCTCCCAGGCTTCGGTGGGATCATGAGGTAAGATGGGAAGAAGTAGGTATACTTGCGGCTATCGCACGTTCTATAACATACTATTGAGAGGCTGCGAAGCATTTCGAGACAAAATGTGCTCACGTTCTTGCGTTAAATCCATTTTGAACTCGTAGCTATGTATAAGGGTGCTTAACTGTGTATGTTGAGTCATAGAGAATGCACGTACAATACTCCAGAGACGAATCTCAGGAGGTAGTTCCTCGTTCATACGAGCAACTAGGTCAGGTACGCCCGGAACGGGGGTGATTAGTTTCATTGAGACAGCGTTACCAGCTGCATGAACACCGGCATCCGTACGAGCAGCCCGACCAAGGTTGACCTAGCAAACGAGTTCAGATTCACCCCCAGGATCAGAATATGAGATACCCACTTTCACCGGATCGTCGGCATTGTCCTGCGACACAGCGCCGACCTTGACCAAGGCATTGAAAAGTACGCCCTCAATTGTTCGTAAGTTTGGGTCGGGTTGTCTGTCCTTTTATGAGCCCGAATTCGGCAATAGAGGGAATAGGCCTAGGAAAGTCACACTAATCTTCCGCACGTACATTTGCATACCATTATACCCCGACCCGCAGAAGCCGATCAGAAGGGCACACTGCCGCTTAGGCAGTCGAGGACCCTTGGGCTCGTCACCATCCCTTCCGCCTCCCTCCGTCGCTCGCGTTCCCCTTCGACGATCCCGCCCCCTGTCCTTGTCCTTGCCTCTCTTCGACTTGCTTCTATCGCCACTTCGTTGTGAAGTAGCTTTGGCCTTTTCGGTTTCGTTGTCTTGCTGGGCAACATCGTTTTGAGCGGCCTCCCGAGTTTTCAATCCGGGCTCAGCTGCGTCGAATTTGACGCGCTTCGAAGGCCCGGCCTCAATCAGTTCGTCATGGTCCTCCAAGGACCGATTGAGGGATCTAGTTGGATAAGAATTCGCTTCCATACAGCAGATCCGCCAGATTGGAGCAAATCGAGTGTTTCTGAAATCAAATTTGTGGGGAAGGAGTGGGCGAACTGTGCGTCGCAATGCTCTCATGAACAGAGCGATTAAGATCATATGCTCGGCGTTGTGCCGCCAGTTTCGAATGCAATCTCTAGATCTCATGGAACAATCATATAGCCGCAGGCATACTTAAAGAAACTCAAAATCATGCTGGGATAGTCAGGTCGAGGGGGTCTTACTGGTACACAGCAAGCGCATCATTTGGTCCTCAATATTACCGGATCGACTTATGAGAGGGATAATACATGAGACAGACGAATGGTCAGGACTTAGCGAGGTATGCCTCGAATACTCTCGGCTCGAGCTTGAGCAATTCAGTTTCTGCCACAACAATCCGCCTACGCAATGTGGTGACAGGATAGGACTTTAGGTAATTCGCAGGCGAACAAGACACAAATATGCGTAATTCGGCCAAGAATGGAGAGTGGGTCGATGGGAATATGAGGTTGAACGTGCGAAAGGACGATCTGAGCCTCATCGAAATGTCAAGGAGCGAGTCTTCCCTTTCCCTTCCCGTCTACTCCCATTCCCGCTCCCGCTCCCGTTGCTCTATCTCTGCATGTCCTTGATACCAACTAGACTCTAATATATATAATCATCTTCACCGTATCCCTGACTACACGTCTCCGTAATCATGAAGGTAAGCCAGAAAATCGCCCTGGCGGAGAAGGAGGACCGCGTGTGGTGGTCTTTTGAGTATTTCCCTCCCCGCACAGCACAGGTGAGCTTATCATCATTTGTTTCTTTGGGGTTTTGTTGTTAATACGAGGTAGGGTCTCCAAAACTTACTGGACCGTATTGAGCGTATGCGAGCACTGGGCCCTGAGTTCATAGACATTACATGGTGAGCCTTTCTTATATGTGAATTCTCTTGGGAATAGTAGGTTTATGGGTAAACAGGAATGCTGGTGGTCGTACGTCTGACCTCACATCTGAAATGGTCAAGACCTGTCAAAAGCTTATCGGCATGGAGACATGCATGCACTTGACTTGCACGAATATGCCCCGGGAGAAAGTAGACGTCGCCCTCAAAGTAAATCGGAGTTTTCTGCTCGCACTGTGTCGAATCTACGTACTCATATTGTCTTATAGGAAGCCAAGGAACATGGGTGCCGGAATGTGTTGGCTCTCCGAGGAGATCCGCCCATGGGCAAGGACGAGTGGGAGGCGGTCGAAGGCGGGTTTGTTCATGGAATCGACCTAGTCAAACATATACGCTCGCAGTACGGGGATTACTTCGATATCGTCATTCCTGGCTTCCCACAACATGTGCTTTTGCCTCCTGAAGAATTCGCTTTAGAACTCCAATATCTAAAGGAGAAGATCGACGCTGGGTCAAATCTCATCTTTACGCAGATGTTCTATGACGTAGACATCTTCATCAAGTGGGTCCATGCGGTTCGTGCGGCCGGCATCACCATCCCCATTGTGCCTGGCATCGCCCCCATCCAAACTTGGAATGGATTCCAGAAGGCGACAAGTCTGGCGAAGACGAAGATTCCGCAATTATTCCTCGATGCGCTTGAGCCGCACAAGAATAACGATGAAAAGGTTCGGGAAATTGGGACCAAACTTGTCGCGGACGTGTGTCGCTATTTACTTGATGCGCAAATTGGTATCAAGGGCTTGCACTTCTACACGATGAACCTGGAGAAAGCTACCCGCATGCTGCTTGAGGAGTTGAATCTCGTTCCCCGGATACAAACCGTTAAACCTCTACCTTGGAGACAGGTATGCATTCTCTTGCCGTGAGTGAAGTACAGGCGCTGATCTGGGGGCGTTTCAGTCGCTCACACCCAACCGTCGGGCGGAAACTATCCGCCCCATATTCTGGGCGAATCGCACACGATCCTACCTGTCACGCACTGAAAATTGGGATGAATATCCCAACGGCCGATTCGGAGATTCACGTAGTCCTGCATACGGCGAACTGGATGGCTATGGTATCTGGATCAAACAATCTGTGCGTTGTAGATCCGTTACTTAGTTGCATTGCTGACGATACGCCTACAGAAAGAAGAGGCACTACAGCTTTGGGATAGTCCCACATCAGCTGCAGATATTGGTCGGCTGTTTTCCAAATTCTGTTTAGGCCAGCTCCGTGCGCTTCCTTGGTCAGACCAAGCGCCGTCCTCAGAGACAACCGTCATTGCCACGCAGCTAGCAAAACTAAATGATATGGGTTTTTTGACTATTAACTCGCAACCAGCTGTGGACGGCGCACGTAGCGACGACCGGGTGCATGGCTGGGGACCTACAAATGGCTATGTATACCAGAAGGTAGGGGTATATAGCAGTCAACTGCTGAACGGGAGATTGATATCCCTGAATAGGCCTACCTTGAGTTCTTCGTATCACCTGGACTCTTGGATGCTCTCCTCCCTCATATCGAACGAGACGTCAACATAACTTACTATGTGATTAACAAGCGCGGTGACCTCCGTACGAATACCCATTCTGAAGGTCCCAACGCGGTTACGTGGGGGGTGTTTCCAAACAAGGAGATTGTACAGCCGACTATTGTAGAAGCTATTAGCTTCATGGCTTGGAAGGTTTGTGCATACTGCTGTTCCGCTGAGATACTCTGACCTACGACTGACCAGGATGAGGCCTACGAGCTCGGCCGTCAATGGAGCAAGTACTATGAACCGGAATCTCAAACGCGTAAGCTTATAGACGACATCATGGAGACATACTACCTTGTGAATGTCGTTCACAACGATTACAAGAAGCCCGAGGCTATCTTCGAGCCGTTCTTCAAGGCTGGCGCAGAATTTACAGCATTGCAGATTGGCCAGTCTTCGATGCTCAGGGATAATTGACTTGAGGAAGTCTTTGACAATTGTCGCCCGGAACTTTCAATATCATTTCACTGACTGATACTATAAACACCCTAGGATGGGCTGCTTATTTGTTTCCAGCACTCCTCACCGGGTTCAACCCCCGCTCATTTCGTCGCTTATCTATACGCCCCCTGCTTGCACCACATCATCGCAGGCTTGTCTAATATTGTCGCATCTATGTGTAGCTTCATCGCCTGTCTTGCATCAACTGCATCGTACTTTTATCCGTCCCGTCGGCACTCTGCATCCAACTGCATGTATCATAGTGCTTTGATCGCCAATACAGATTTGTTTTGTCTGCTATTGATGTTCGTAGCAGCTGAGGACTCTGGTCCAACATGGCATCCACTAACTTCGTCCTGACAAAAACGCAGTGAAGTGTGCAATACCTCTAAGTATTTTCTAATTGCATTGCGTATTCATGCCCCAGCAATGTTAGTATCAACCTTGTATGCTAACCAGGTACTGCGAAGTCTCATCCTAGGGAAAATGCATGTAGTGAATCAAACAAACCAAGTCACAAGTAACTCCTAGTCAGGAACTTAGTTTCGGCTTACTGATGGTATGAGGCGGTATAAACGGCTCTGTACCACTTCATACCATCGGCCACCATGAGCCTTCCTGCTGATAGTAGGTATTCGGGTGCATTAGTATTATGCCAAACACGTGGTATCTCGAAAGAAGACAGAAGAAAACATGTCTACTACGCTTGCGGATCGTAGGAGAGATCAGAATAGAAGAAATCACAGCTAGTGGGAGGTGCGCCAGTTGCCAAACCACTTGGAATGTCAACTCGTTCACCGGTTAAATCTACATTCATGATTAGGTTTACATCATGTATAGGCGGGACAAGTACACTTACCCAGCAATTTGATCTTGAGACCGATTTCGGTGAGTGCTTGTACAAACATCTCCGTTTCTTTGGAAGCGACATGACCGCCATCCTTCCGCAACATGTTAAGACCATCTGTCCAATCTGCCCATCTGGATTGGTCAGGAGCAATTTGATCCGCCAAGGAAGTGCCACTGGTAGTGAGGAGAGAGAAGGAGAGAGGAGACACTGCTACCGGGGAGCCCGGCGTGGGCACATCGATGTCCCGGGCAGTGCCAGGATACGGAGCACAGGTCCCAGTTGCGATCTCGTTCACAGCCGACAAGTCGATGCGCTCAGGCAGATCTTCTAAACCTTTCTTCATAGGGAATTTCGAGGTGGCATCCACATAATGTAAATACTTCAGCCCATTGTCCTAGCGATTGGCTATTATCAGCTCTCCAAGTACGGCTGAAAACATTGTCATGCCTACCAGCCGCATGAATCGCCAAGGACGATTAGGCCGCCTGACAGTTTCACGATGAGCTGTGGACGTCACAGGAATGGCATTCGTGAACCAAGCACCATCTAACAGACAGTGTATCCGCTGCTGGCGCACAAAGTCGAACGACTCCTTGTACAACTTTGCCCTCAGGTTTCTGACCGGTCTATTAAAATGCGAGACTAAGTTCGCCCAAGAGACGACTTACCTCATGGGAATCTTACTCATGATATCGTCTTCCATCTCGAGCTCCTGCATTTGTCTATCCCGGACTGCACGATATTCACACTGAGAAAAGTCATGCTCGACTTCATGCCATGCTCTGACGTTTTCGCGTCGTAGCGCAACATTCACTCTGGAAGATATATTATATCAAAGTGCAGATTACGATGAAGATAGTGGAACATACTGGCTTCGGGTAAGTGCAACCAGACGGGGGAAGTCATTTTTCGAAGCACCACTTTCGTTCCACATGCGAAGAAAGAACTGCGTTGCTAGTGTGTGCACTTTAAGGAAGTTGAGGAAGAATGGCTGAAATGTTGTGGTAGTCGAGTCTAAGCAAGGAGATTAGTTGGGGTGTGCAGGAAGTAGATGGAGCAACACACATCCAGGGGAATATATTGCCCAGTGTTCTGAAAGTAAATCCACAACCTCGTTCGAAGCCTTCGCGATGGGGCATCTTCGTTCATCGGGTCGACTACGTTGCTCCTGAACGACCTAAACATAGCAGGTCACTGGGCGCTAAAGCCTTCGTTGATGCATACATCACACATACCTTGGCCCAATAATCAGGATCTTTTGCTACGAAATATCTCTGGTATGGACACGTATTGAGTTCATCATACACGTCAGCGACTGTGTGAACGCGCACCAAACAGTGTAACCCGAGCAAACCGACTTGCCGAAATTCCTGCGTCAGATCCTCACTGTCGAAGCCAAGCTTCCTCCATCGCCATACCTCAACCTCAGAAGTATCCTCGCTGATCCTGCTACTGGACCATATATACTTTAAAATGGCGGCATGGGATTCCTCAATTTCTGGCTCAACCGGAGTTGTCTTCTCCTTGTACGTGACCCGCATCATATTTGCTTGGAAATCCAAGATGCAGGACGTCAAGTCCTCAATAGTATGCGAGGACATAAGACGCTTTCCCATACCAGTCAAATTCATAGCCCTCAGTCAGAGGGAAGACAGACGTACAATCACCGCCTTACGAACATTCAGCCTTTCAAGAGATGTGGTAAATTCATCCCATCGAGCATCCGTCATGTTAGCAAGGAGAGAATTGATGAGCATCATGCTGCGAAGACGAGGCGATGTTTATGTCAAATCGCACCGAACGATTGTTGTTCGCACCTATACAACGCCATTGTGGTATCCGCACTCCCCAGGCGTTCTACGACAGTCTCGAGTAGTCGTGTCTCCTTGCGCATCTGCTCGAACACAACCTCGAATCCATACCGATAGACTGAGTCAGGGGGTGGAGCTGGTGGTCCTCTGCTTGAGCTTGCAAGGTTGGCAGTAAGCGTACTGGCTGGAGATGCTTCCACTAGTTTCTTGAGGATCGCGGTTGCGGGTCGGCAAACGTTGATTAACGACTGCTTGGAAGAAAGGATCTGGACAATTTTGAGTATGAATTCGTCGTCAAGGTCATTCCATCCACGATCCAATTCCATGAGGTTCTGCATCGCAGTTAGAGCATACTAGTGACAGATGACATCAGTCATCTAAATATTACCAATATGACATAGTGGGACATACTGCGAGGGTATTCCCGTGAGTTGTGTTTATTATATTTATGAGTTCAGCCAAGCCATCCCGTCGAAGAAATTCCTCTGCGAATTGTTCCTCCTAGTCCCTTGTCAGATATGCAAGAATGTCAATACTTTAGTCACTGACTCACGCGAATATACCTGCGAAGTGAGGTCAAGGCCAGTCCCAATTTCGCATCCCGGAGTATCAACTTCTCGACTATTTCTGTAGCTTCGAGAGCGGGGGCGCTAACAAGTCTGGACTCGTCAAGTACCAATATAGGTGCGCAAATGTGAACAAGTTCTTTCCACAGCCAGAAAACAATACCTACTTCAGATTGATCTTTGCTTTGATCTTCTTCCGGAGATTATCGTTGGTAACCAGTTCATCATTCTCGTCTCTGAGAGCATACATTGAAGGGGGATCTTTGAGCTTTAAATTGATACACAGCTGGCGAATTACGTCATCCACGGGGAGAGTTGGTTCGATGCGAGTCCGGACAGTAGAACCATCCTTGGTAGTCACGTTGTTTGTAGGTACAAGTCCCCCTCGGGCTTGTGGTGCAGGGCTACTGCCATTCGCAGCGGACGTTGGTGTTGGTGACACAGTAGGCTTAGAAGAGCCTTCTCCATTGCTAGACATGATGCGTAACGAATGAGAGATGTCTGAGATAGATAGACAGAGTCAGAGTGCGCTTCATGACAAAAGCGATGGGTAAAAACAAATAAAACACTCCACAATTTCGCTCTTCTGTCAGAATCCTAGGATGGAGACAGGGACATCTGTGCAACAAAAGGTGATTGAATATCACCAGCAACAGATGTAATGATCCGACAAAACGACGCCAACAAATACCGTTGCAAACTAGGCATGCATTACAGTCCTACGACAGGGATCCATTCCGCACATGGATAAGATATGACTCACAAAAGCCTTGATGCTCAAGTAAGATGTGAACGCGTCACAGGGTACTGGGCGCGGCGCACCTACGTTGAAAGTAGAGTGAGAAACGTGAACACAGTCAAAATACAATTGGATATGAATCAGAATCGCGAAGTGACATCCAGCGTGCCAGGAGGCACTCAGACTGACGTGCAAATAAAAAGCACTCATCCGCTCAGGTTCACCAGGATTAATGGCTACTCACCAACACTAGTACTTAGATATATGCCTAGCCACGAGATGGAAAGGGAAGTGAAAGTGAAAGATGCAAATAATGATAGCAATAATGCAGGGCTGGTCACGCAGAAAGCCAAGCAGATAGCTCTGCAGCTTCGCAGGCGGTGTATAATATCAAAAAGCAGACGAGTGGCGATGTACTGGAGATATAGCACGCCGGAACGAGAGAAAGCCAAGATATCGATAGTAAGCAGAAAATCCTTATAGTGCAGAGATTTGAGATGTTTCGCCGACACCGTCGTCGTTGTCGTCTTGGAGGCGAGCCTGAGGCATGAACGTATCAAAGCAACGCTGACGCAAAAACCGCGGTGGAACAAGCGCCGAACCATTCTTTGTCTCGTCTTGTCAACGCTTCGACTGTGCCACATTCACTCGCTGAATTAAACACGTCCGAGTATCGCAGCGGGCTCGACAACAAGTTTGACGAGCTGGATGTCGATTACGCTGGTATGCCAGCCTCACGAGGACACAAACTGGCTGTCAGCCTCATTGACATCCCTCTTACCGAAACAACGACAATATTGGGTTCAGGTCAGCACAGACTATAGATATGGCGCCCCCTGTCGACTCTCTAGCGCCGCCTGGGATACAACATGCGGTGGTTACCTCCAGCTCGTCAATCACGCTCAGCATTCAGGCTTTTAGTTCCCTCGACAACCTCCTTTCCGTCTCGACAATTCTTCCATCCATCTCTGACGATTTACTTGCACTGGAAAACAATGATATTCCGTCTTTTCCTTCTGTAACAAACCCTGGATTATATACCCACCTCTTCCAACCAGCTGTGCTCAAGTCGGATCCCACCATTGGTCGAAAGTCTGCATGTGATCTCACTCAGTCTACCATTACCATCCCAACTCGACCTCGCTTGAGAGTCATGTTGATGGAATCCATCTGCGTAAATCAATGGGCGGTGAGTAGATGTCTTCGCGCTTGATATGGGGACATTTGATCGCCATTTAAACAGGAGAATGTCCTCATCCTTGATCCCCTCGACCATGTTATTTGGAATGAAAGGGATCATGAAGAAGACATTTCGTTTTGCTTTCCTGCACTTCCTTGGATACCGGAGGGTTCTATATTTGCTCCGGAACTTTTACACGCAATTTTGGACAGCCGCCATCCTGGACGCTATCGTCCGTCGATCCGGAGTTCTCGATCCAATTCTCCTCTTTCTCCTACAGCTCAATGTGGAGATGGAGGAAGTGAGTGCGGACTGACCAACGAAGCCATCAGCGGGAGTCGCCATCTCATTCATGTGCTGAATAGTGAAGGGCGAGTGGCCTTAGAGAACGTGACGCCAATAGGCTTGCCTACAATCATGGTCTCAAACTCGACAGCAGTGCTTCCTATCTCACTGGAATCGTCTCAGAGCATAGCCCATCTCCCTTTAGCCGTTCGGAGAGGCAAGAAGGTTCCCGCTGCGTTAACTGTGAAAGCTTCGAACGATCAGGGAAAAGAGCAAGATCCTTATCCTGGCATACCGAGTCCATTCTTGGGCTCTCCTTCAGCTTCTAGCCCTACTTTCGACCTTGCAACGAATCCGGCCGCCTCTTCCATGGGTCTGGAGGCAATGTGTACTGATCTGCATTCACGTTGTCCTGAGTTGCGCTCCTCTCTGTCGGTCGAGAGCCCGGATGACCTCCGATGCCACTGGGGCACCGTTCATCGTAACAAGTACGCCGAAGCTTTGTCTGGCGATGAAGACGATTGGGCGTTTGCTCAAGACTTGTTAGAGAAATTTGGCGGCAAACCGCCGTATTTGCCTGATTCCTATTCTCAGTCACCATATACTGGCGATACGCGAGCTGTTGCAGAGGTCTCCGCTACTGACTCGCTTACTTGGGGAATGTCGCCGACCTTGACTAACCCGGCTGAGGATTCTTTCTCGAGCTCCACACCGATGAATCTTCGGCAACAGCGACGAAAGACTGTGATAATCGAAACTCCGGTCAACTACAAAGACACTCAAGATGCTCCTGTGAGTGGCTTGGAGATAGCTCGTGGCGTACTTGAGGATTGCAAACCTCTGCCAATTGAAAGCTTTAGTCCATCTGATAGTGAGTTTTCTTGCGAGCATTGTCGTCAGTCGACGCCCGTTCCATCTCGACCATCTAGCACTGCGAGCATGCGCCCCACGAAGGGGATACTGAAGGAGAAGAAGAGTGTTCGATTCTCTCTCGCGCCAAGCAAGCACGAATGCTCTTCAGACGAACACGATGCACATGCACATAGGGTTTCCGATCCTGTGACGCTTCATCATTCAACCTTGTCAAATAAACCTAGGTCTCCGCTTCAACACAGTTTTTCCCCCTTCAATGGAGAGCTACGCCTAGTTTCTCCTAGCAAGAATGCAAGCATATGTGGCTTCCCTAAACATCCCGCCTTGCGCAACATTGCGCGATCTTCCTCTTCGCAGCTAGATAGCCCACAAACACCCACTCCGACGGTTCTCTCGGATCAGCAGTGCACGCCCCTACGGTCTCTGAAGGTTCGACAAAGCCTCCCAGCCAAACGTCACTCCAATGTCATCCTCACTGGCGAGACCGAACACAAGAGCACCGCAGGAGACAACCGTGCGAAGTCCAGGAGGCTCAAAACTGCGTCTACACCTCTTTATGTTCGTAACGGCGGTGAGAACTTCCGCGTGAGACGTGACTCTGGGGGACAGAAGAGCCGTATGCCTGTACCGTTTCGCACCATTTTAACCAAGCTCAGAGCCTGAGCATGGGAACTCGATTTCAGAATAGGCATGTATTGTATCCGAGGCGAGTCCACCTTTTATACACATTCGTTTGTCTCCTTTGTACACGGGTCAGCTTGGGTTTAGCCTCGTTTGTGGGCATTTTGTGGTCTTGCCATACAAAGTATCGATTGACATAGAACGCGACCCGCAGCCCTTAGCTTGTGACCTCCCGTTGCGCTTTCTGTGTTGTGATCAGCACTGCAATGTGATGCGCATGTCACTGATGCGAAAAGATGCTCGGCAACGATGATAATTCGGTATCATTTCGGGGAACTATTTGACTCAGAATCTTGGCCTTACGCTTCGTCAGGTGTATTTGCCGCTGGCGATTAGGGCGTTCGGAGGCTCTGTTCGACTTCAAGTACTTAGCGCCGATACCTGGAACTGCCTTGTCATTCGCTTTTTGCGTAGTTGGTTCATCGCTAAGAACGAATTGTGCTTGCTTGTCTCTTTCCTAGAGCTTTGAACAGTGATTTGCACAAGTTCTGCAGCGCCACACTGACCATGACAGTGCATGCATTTGTATGCCCACAAATGCGCACAATTATGTCCACGGCACTGACGTTGCAACGCTTCTTGATGTGCCGGCGATTTTGCTGATTGGGATTGTCGATGGATCCGGCTCCACTCTGGATTCTCAGGCTTCAACCTCCGGGCCTCTCCATGTCAGCACAAAAGAACCCCTTGTATTGTCCAGGCAGGTTTGCCTCACTATCTTCCTCGCTTGTCAGATCTGCATCTAATATAGTCCGTGATGAACCTGAGTCGCTTCCTTCTTGTTGCGGAGGGGGGTGGGCCACAGCGCACGGCACTCTCTGTGGCAGGTCATAGCGCTTCTGAGGCATCTCCCAAGGCTATAAAGATCGCTGCCAGAATGCGATTTCTCCAGACACCACAACGCCATTCCCCGGTACCGCTCCACAAGCCAAGCCCACCCATGTCCGCACCCTACAGCGACTCGTATGTATCCTCCCCACTGAACACTCACACTGTGATTTGTCCAATACTAAGATCATCCGTTGACAGTACACATTGGAGTAGCAGTGGCTTCAACCAGCCAGATCCTTCTGCGCCATCACATCCATCGGCGGCATCGTACGTCTCACTTTGACATCTCTTGCTCTTTTCATTCATTTGAAGCCGCAGCGCCGATGATATTTTCGCGGACGTGATTGATCCGGCGACTCAAAGAGCGGTTACGCAAGCCACGTCTCATTTCGACATCGGCATGAGCGCAAAAGTGTATGCTTATGTCTTGTTTCATGACTCAAGATTTCTCGCTGATGTAGCACCCAGGTTATCCTATGCTTGTCAGTCGACTGTTGGGCACGACCAGTGCGTTCAATTCTATGAGATGCTCTGGGACTATCACGGACCCGCGTTCTATAAAATGATGATGGGGTCTGTTGGTGCCGTCGCCCAATGGGAGCCTGCATACGAAAGTCCGTTATGGTACGCAATTCAATTAGATCCTCGTGCTGCACGACAAGCCGGAGAGCAAGCATGTGCGCGGGTAGGAGTCTCATTCCCTAGCCATGTGGTCTTTCCGCCAATGGCCAACGAGTTTGTCCGGATTTCCCTCACGGAGAAGTTATTGGCGCTGAATGTACCCAACATGTCGTCACCGGCCGATTTTTACGCCTTTGGCGCACCTTCGCAGGTGGGGTATCAGCCTTCGATCACATTCAACATGTTCAGTGACAGTTCAAGCTATGCGTCGAACTCGATGGCCATGCCACAGTCTCTCGATTGGACTTCTATATCAATGCAGCAACCGGCTAGGCTTCCTGCTCAGCCTGCCGAGTCTAGTCTACCTGTGTTATCGGGAATGTCTCAAGTCAACTCTGTGGCTCCTGTTGCTGCGCCATGTGACCCAGTAGCCTCTAGTTTTGGAGAAACACTGGCTTCGACAGGAACGTCCAGGGAGCACTCCGCTTTTAACCTGGGAGAAGCTATCGGTCCTAAGCCAATGATGTCGAATACTAGCGCAAGCGGGAAAGTCATGTCAACGCTCTCATCGCTAGCCGAGCGGTGTTCACATCCGGCGCAAAAGCGAGAGCGAGAGGCAACCTCGCCTGAAAGCCTTGACGAAGCCCCACTACGCAGATCGAAGAGGATAGCAGCAAGGTGCACGTCGTCCACGGCCTCCAATTTCTGAACAATCATTTAGTTTGCTGTTGTTAGTGGTTTCGTGACTAATTCATGACCTCGTCGCTCTTTACATTCCCGTATTTCGTTTCGTTCTTTTCATACTCCCTGAGTGCTTCCATCATGTACATTTTCCGTAGTAGTGTAGTTTGTCCCCTGTCATTTGTATTGTAGGTACTGTACGTTGAAATATACTCGTTGCTCCATCATCCGAGTTATGTGTGGTATGGTGCTGTTGCTACTAAAGGTAATAGTTTGTTCTGCAAGGCTTGCCGTGTATGAGTTTATGAGGCAGAACTTACGGCCCATGGTTCAACGTCCCCAATTCCTTTCAGAAACTCGAAGATATAGTTGTGAAATACACGAATCAGAAGCTCGTCAAATAAATGTCTATAAATGGCGTCAGGAAAGTCGTTCGTCGTGAGGACCGATAGATGATTGTAGTGCTATCAGTCAGTATTTTATCCTGTTTATGATTCACTTGCATGCAAGGTACACACCTGTATTTACCTCTTCTGCGTTTCACCCAGTCTCCCACCATGCTTGGTCTCGATGAGCTGTGAACAGTGTTAGATAGGTTGAAGCTGACAGATGAGTCTACAAGGGTACTTACTACGTTGAAAGCGTATTATGCTACGGGTAGCCGAGCGCGGAAAACGACGTGGAATTTCGGACTTCATCCAAACTTCCTTGTCTTGCTTCGTCTCGAATCTATATTGAAATATGAGTTGTACCAGCTTCTTCGATAAAGGTTCAGACGAAATAATCGCGTCGATATCGTCACAGCCATATGTATCGAGGTGGGATTCCGTAAGGAATGGCGATACTTCCAGAATGATAGATTTCAGAGCTGCAGACTTCAACTGAATGAGAATTGCCGATATCCACGAAGCACCGTCGGCTAGCTCCAGGCAAATCGATTTGAGTCCTGAATTATCTGCTAGTATTGGCTTCTTTTCTATGCATAAGACTGAGGACAAAACTTCTTGTTGAAGTAATGTGATCATGACAAAACATACCGGCTGGTAGAACACTGGTTACCCATAAGTCCCTATACTGATTGAGCTGAAAATGTTGCAAAGACTTCCCTGAGGCTTGCAGCAATCTGTCAATATGATTGATATCCTCCTGTCGGGCATCCATGATTATGATTGTCGCGAGAGACGCAGTAGACATATCCGCAAGCAAACACTCGACCATGTTTCCTGACATCTCCATGAACTGCATGGCAAGGCAAGAGAGGCTCCTTCGCGGTTTGCGTAGCTCAATGGTTTTACTGTAAATGTCTTTTGACACATACAACGCATTGCAGGCTAGCACGGAGAGGTGAGGGAGGGAGGATAGGAGGCGACCCATGGCAGTGTAGGTCGAGAACTTGACGTAGTTCAGCTCGAGGGTGGTAACGGACGTGAACTCACATAAGGAGATATGGAAGACGTCGTGTGTGGGAGGAAAGACATAATCATCCGTAGTATGCATGTTAATGTGCAAAATGCGAACCGACTTCAATTTCCGAGCGAGCATTAACGGAAAGGTTCCAACTGCCTTTGACTGCTTCTCAAACGGCCACAATGCAACCTCTCTGACAAATTCCTCCAGAAAGGGATATAGGCGAATCTGTTTAGCGAAAGAGGAGAGATGGCGAGAAGTTGGGATCTCAACGCGATAGAAAAGATGAAGCCGGCTCCTAGGCAGCCATGCTCGACATGTCAGCGCACATGCAAACAGATCTTGACGGCTATCTCGAAATCCACCCATCCGGTCGACCGCCGGGATAAAGTCGATCACTCGCTCCCAAACTTCAGTGGGAAGAGCTGGAACTCTGGGTATTTCGAGTATGTGGTCCTGTAACATGTTGAAAATGGAAGCTGATGAGCTTCCTGGATCCACCATGATAGTCCCAAATGTCATTTAGGCGATCCGACGAGCTGTGGTCCAGATGAGTTTCTTGTATTCGTAGCAGAGGTCAGGAACAGGGGCGCGAGACTATCAGCCAACACCTCACCGTAGCTAATGACGAGCTTCGAAGACGAGACAAGCTGGCTTGCGTTTGAAGAGTTTTCCGTGGCGCGAGTATGAAGGCTATGCTTCAAGGCAGAGACCGCCTTTCCCGGGCAAAGTGGTTCGCTTCGAGTGGTCAATCAGTCGACTCTTTGTCGCCGCTCATGGTTACCATCTGACGCCGTGAAAAGCGCCATCGACTGAGCAGCAAATGTGACCGCTTATGCAAGTCAATTCAATTGAACGATCTGAGAAAGTCCAGGTCAACGTTATGTAAGAGCTTGGCGGATCGGGACACCACATACCTAGATGCCTACAAAGGACCTTAAATATGGATCAAAGCGTATAAATAGCGATGCAAGTGGCGAGGAAGAAGCGACTCAATGCTACAGGTCACAGAGTACGAGAGAGTTGCAGATACAAGTGCATAAATAATGAAGCGACTGTCGGAGAGAAACTTTAACGTAAAGCTACAAGCAACAGGAGGCGCAAAAGTGGTGGATACAGGAAGCCGCCTATAATTAGGCGACGTGGGATCGCGGAAGGGGTATTGGTTATAGGGTGGCGGATGTGCGCTCGAGGATAGATCGTTGACGACCTGCGAAGCAATATCAGTTTCTGTATTCCCACTCAAACATGAAGAACTGACCGGACAGCGGGGATTTGGACCGCCACTTGTCTAGCGCAAACAAAATTTGACCGAGGGGCGCGAGCAACGTCGATAAATTGGAAGTGTTGATAGCATTCTGAGCTCTGGCAGTGATGATGCCACAGACAAACACATTCGAAACAATAATCAGGAGCACCTGCAAACGACAATCAGCGGACGAAAATCATGCGTGAATGATTACTTGCCGAGACAACAGGGTTGATATACTGAATCACGCTCAAGTTGAGCTTTTGCAGTGCACTTAAAGCGTACTGAGCGGCATTCCAAGACATTCCACTAGAGGAGGCCACTCGAAGCTCCATGGGTTCATAAAGCTTGATGAGTGTACAACAGGTCAGAATGTGGATGGTCACCAGGCTCCGGACAACATCCACGCGCGCGGCGTCAATATGAGATATTGAAGGGAGGGCCTTTCTAAATTTTTCAATGCGATTGCTGAGGTGGTTGAAGCTAGCTTGAAATGTGGAGCTGGCTGAAGGACAGAAGTCGATGGGTCAATATTAAGGCGTGAGATGTGACGAGATTTACCAGGGTTCCAACGTAAAGCAAGATCATTGGCGGAAACAAACAGTGACACAGCCTTTGCATGCAACGCAAGTATACTCTGCTCGGCGGTCTCGGGTCCGGGGTTCTGCAAGAATAACTGTACAGTGCGGGTAGATCGCCAGCCTGCAGGTGACGGTTCCTACAAGGATATGGTCAGTATCGTGTTATGAACCGGACTTCAGGAACTTACACTCTCGTATCCGCCCATGTCCAGCGGCCAAGGAACGTCAATCTGTGTGCCTTTTGATTCGTCGTCGGTAAATACCGATGGAGAGCCCAATAGCACACCCCAGCACTTGTCCAAAATGTAAACAGTCCAGAATGCATTGATTCTTTCTCCTTCCTCGACACGGTCGGCTGGCGGGTTCAGACGGTACCAGAGACCGCCCGAGGCAGTGGTCGAAGGTCGTGATGTTCGGATCTGATGCAGCTTACAAGCCAGTGCAATCGATGCAGCTGCCTTCAGGTGATAATTACCTTCCGTAGAGCGATTGTTGTCGAAAAAGTAGTGCGTTAAGAGAATCTCCGTTTGGAGAACATATATGATAGACGGTGAACTAGTGTCGGACATTGCGGATGGGATGGCCTCCAGAGCGCGCGACAGGAAGCCGGATTGCTGAGATTGAGACTGGATATTTCCTGAAAATTGAGCACCCAAAAGATAGATTATGTTCAGTAAGGCGGAGACGTGATAGGGATGTCTGGAGGACCGAAAGGAAGAGATATACTGTAGAAAACGAGCGACGTTCAAGAAGAAGCCTGCTTCAGAGGCGTACTTGAAGAAGTGTCGCATCCTGTGGTTCTTCGTCAACATGTGAGAGGTGCGTACTACGCGTGACTTCGCTCACAACGAATGAAGATGTTCGTTTTGAGGCTGCGCAGGTTGTGCCACCCGTTGTGCGGCCTGCGACTGGCGCCAGGATTCATAAGGATCGTGCAGAATTAAAGGAGCGGCAGCACTCTCGAGCTCAGCAATACGACCCTCTAGCTGGATCACCTGCTCCTCGAGAAGCTGCGACATGGTGGGACCAGAGCCATCGGCATACTCGCAATCCGTGCCTCGATTGGCCGCCTCGCATTGTCCACATGCAGGTCTACCGCTATCGCATCTCTACTCAATACAATGAGTTAATGTCTCGAGGCGTATAAACTTGTGTATACCATCTTTCTTCGCCTATGAAATATTAGCCTTGTTCATTTTAGCCACCTCAGTGCTCACCTGCATCTTAGACACGCCTTGCCTCTTTCAAGAGAGCCTGGGAGGGCTGTAGCAGCAGACATCAGATCTTTTGACAGGGAAGGTGAAGAGAAAGGTAATCCTGGTTGTCGTGACTGCTACATCCTGACGGGTCCATGCGAGCCTTATAGCAAGCGAATACATGGCTGTGTCGTGCAGAGATACGTCGTGTGTTCAACTCTGTATCCCGGTGCATGAACATGCAGCTGCGCCCATCGGTCGTGCGCGCTTGCAGCAAAGCAACTGTGACACTGCGGGTGGCGCACTCAGTATTGATGGGCACCTTCGATCCGCTTGCAAACATCGTGCTGCGCAGAGAGCTGTGAACTCCAGAAATGGAACAGATCAGAGTTACGCTGCACCAACGGCGACATTCCCAGCCGCATTTGTGCTCGTATACAGAGAGAATCGCGTTTGGCGCTTACAACGCACAACACGATCACGTGGTCGCGTATACAGCCCACGTCGCTTCGTCGAGTCGACGAGTCGCTGCGGACCGGTGCAGGGCCTTGACTGCGCAGGAAGACCTACTTGTTCGCGATGTCAACCTACAGAGCTTCGTGCTCTTGCGGCTGCAGCGAACTGTCTCTTGACAAGTTTCACCGCAAGAAGAAGAAATCTCCTGGCCCTGGCGCTCACAAGGCTGTTAAAGTATTGCTGTTCAATGCGCAGTACGTGTCGAGAATTTACTGCTCATAGAACTCACATATCTCGACACCATGTGGCTTCCTTTCGGCGATGCTTGCACAGAACCCAGGCGGCGGCGCCCGGCACTGATGCAGCGGTCCCAGCCGGGCACAGTCGAGCAACGGGCGATGCGACAAAGAGTGACCTCATATTCTCTGGCTGACTGCGGAGACGAGAAGCCGTATAACAAGGGAGAAGGAACCGAGAGCTGATTTTCTAGAGCCATTAATACTGGACACGCGCCATCCGACGACACCTCGTGGAGGTACAGAAAATAATCCAAATTATGCCATAAAGAAGTCGTTGGCAGAGATAACAAGTTTTGAGCGAAAAGCGCGTACAGACAGAAGCCAGCGGGCACTCCAAAATAAAGCTGCGAGTGATTTCGCTTGGGAGATATACCTCGAACTATTTGGGCGCTCTGCGTTTAGCCTTGGTGTTTTAAGCATTGCCTGACCAGTGTATCCTTGTCATATTCCAATGTGATTACTCGCCTCAATTGCCGGTAACGCTCACAGAAGACCCATCATGAACACACATGCTGCGCTACCTGTTTGCATTTTCCTAGCAGAGTATCGTCCGTAGCCGCTACAAGATACATCTGAGCAAGAATGAACCTGACTTTAAACGCCAATTTGTGAAAATGACTCCCCTGGGCACGCGTCTTCGCGGCGGTGCAAGTATTGTGACGCATCATACCCTTGAAGGGTCCGAGAGCTGAATTGGACCAAAAGAGATAAGATAAAGGCGCACGATTGTTTTATGATTCCCGTGCAAAGTAGATGTCAGACAAGTAGATAGTAGTGTCGCACGTTAGGGACGCATAGCTGCTTCTAAGACGACAAAAATATCACTGCTAATAGCAAGCTAATGACATCCACTGTGGGATGCGGATCAGCACCGATGTCCGCGACGGTCGCTGTATCCAGTCCATTCATAGACGTCGATACCGCATGAACGAAAGGGATGGTTATCGGGGCAAGAGCGAGGTAGGAGTTCAACCTGTTGCTCTAGGTTGCAGGAAGTCGAGGGAGTTCGCAGGGTACCCGCGAAGGTTTTCTGTTGCAGGCGATAGATATGGAGGTCGCTGTTCCGACCTCCCATCGGAGCACCTGTGCGAGAAAGACACATGGTTCAGAAAGTTTCTATATGATATTGTGATGGATAACAAATACACTGTGAGAACAGCTCAAGGCCTCAGGCCTCCTGGATTTCGAAAAGATCGACATGTGTCCTCCTGTCAGCGACAGTTCATCGCCATGCGCGCTTAATCGTGAGCCATAGAATCACGAGCCCCTCACTGGGTTGTCATCAGCCCCAGACACCGTATTTCCATGTCGTGCATAGAGTTCGACGGTTGCTGATTGAGCAGCCATGAACGTGGGTACTTCCACGCACGCACATGAAGAAGTGGACCATTTCTGAATGAACACTAATCGCTACGCTCAAGCCTCGGCGTGCCGACAGAGTTGAACCATCTTTATCAAGAACAAGGTGAGAGTACGTCTCACTACAGATGTCATCATTATGGACCCCGGTGGCTCTCAAAACGTAGAACAAGAGAGCCATAAGCAAACGCTGGGCGGGGGTACGCAGGCCGAAACCCGACGTTTTCATTTCCCCGACTTGGATGATTCCCTGCAAGTGCTGTTGTTCAAGGCAGTATAATTAAAGTATAGACAACTGTGACTCACCAGTGTTTCACGCGACTGTCCGGATGAGGTCCCGGACTGGGAAGCAACATGGCGTGTGTCTGAGGCGGGTTCGAGGTTGCATTGAGGTTGCCTGAACAGGATCAGCAGACACGGCCGGGCTCAGAATTCGAAGTTCAAAGCAAGTTCGAGAAGCGAGAAGGCATGAGAAGGGAAGAGAACTGAAGAGAGCTGGCCTGGGGTTCGCTGAAACGTGATGGGGCTGTAGGCAAGACAATAGGAGTTCGGGGCGTGGCAGCAGCCCGACCGCTCTTCCATAGCGCGCGCACTGGCGCTTGTGCCTTGTCCACGGCCTCGACGCCCGCTGCTGCCTGCCAGGGCGATATTCAAACAACCATCTTTTGCGCAGCGGAAGATGACAAACAGACTGAGTAGCCATTGAACATCGAGCGCCCCGGCCGTCCTGGTTTAGAGTTAACGTTGAAATGACAGAACAATGCAACAGTCAAACGTTGACACGAGCGCCACACGCGCGATACAACCCTCTCTGTGTATCGGGTTATGTTTTACTTTTTTCATATCATCTCTCGACACACAGCGTCCCGGTGTCCACCCGGTGGCCCCGCCCTGTGGACAGTTCTCCCACATATCGCTCTGCAGACACAGGTGACAATCCACGGGATGCGACTGATGCGCGATGCAGGCTTGCAGATAAGTGCCGTCGTCTCAGCAGACGCGTGGTCCTCCGAGCGGCATCCACCTAAATCACGGCATTGCCATCAGCCTTGCATCACACACGCAAATCAAACGCACTGCTGACGTCCATGGCGTTCCCTCGCCCACCCCGCACTCAGCCTCCGAGGATTCGAACTGCCATCGCCCGCATCATCCCAACCGTCTCTCCGGACGAATCGTCCACGTCATAAGCTGGCCAGTCCGCTGACACTTGTCCATATGGAGGATAAACCCATCTCCCTATCCAATCTCTTGCTTCTCAAGTTCTCCCTGCGCAACAGCTCCCGTTCGCAGGCGTGCTTCCCGAATTCGAAGCCTGCCATCGTTGCAAGGGAATCTCTCCCGACATGATTACGCCCGCAGCGCACGACCAGCATGGCCGCGCACCCCCTCGCAGCGCCACGCCACTCCCGCAATCGCGACAGCACGATAATCGCTGCGCGCCGCACCCGCTTCCGCGCGTCCCAGGCCCGGCATCCTCAGCACACGCCGACCGGCGACAGTCCCCAGGCTCCCAGCCAGCGACAACCACCCCACCGCCCCCGCGCGCCAGCGCAGCACAGACCCCGGCGTGGGCTCCGAGCACGCACGACGACCGCACGCCCGGACGGGCCGCTCCCCCCCCCTTCGCAGGGCAGGCAGATCCGTTCACGCGCACCCATGGGGGCGGGCATGGGATAGCCCGCGGTGCCCACGCCGGCACGCGTAGGGTGCACGCCTCGCCGGACCCACAGCTCTGTGCCCAGCTGCGCGCGCTGTCGCAACTGTCTCCGACCCGGATGCCTGCCACGGGGGAGGGGGGGGGG